ACAAATCATTATTTCAATGGCTCTTTGGGCCAATATTTGGCAACTTGAGTCCGATTACCGGAAAGCTTTTGAATTGATGGAACTGGGTTTCGGTTCGGCACTAAAATTCAAACTAGTATACCTAGTCTAAAGAATGAGCTATTAACGCTCCAGTATCACTGATTGCCTTTTATCAATGACATCTTTCTGTTATCCATCAACTGTTTTTAAAACTCTTGGGAAATTTGTTTGCATGCTACTGGCACGATTGAGTCCAAAACGTCAATATTTATCAGGAATGACCCACTAACATTCAGAAGAAAAAACTCAATTTCGTGGAATTAAAAATTTCATTTAATTAGTTCCAGCTTTTTTCTCTTATATTTTACGCCACTTCGGATTAAATCTCGATCTTAATTCACATTTACACATAGCCAAAGTTGAAGATTAATATATTCTGTTTCTATTTGAGAATTGAATTAGAATACCAATATGCCATTTACCACATTGGTACTCATTGGTTCCCTGTATTTGTCATCTTTTCCAAAACTTTTCCCTGAGGTGAGGTAATTCGAAAAAAGGAAGGCATTCATCCACCCATTTAAGGTTTTTTTTATGATTCCTTGATGCATGGAAATTGAAGAGCGTTATATGGCTGCGACATTTATGGAAATGATTCACTTCGTTTACAAGTTAGTTCGATAAGTTGCGGAACAAGGGACCGAATATAAACCTAACCTGTCTCGGTTATAGGTTGCCGATAGAATCATGATTTCAGAGGTCATCTGTTTGCCTAAAATTGTAAACAACTACCAGATCATTTAAAAAAAACCTGGGCAAATATTCTCTCTAGCCCAACGCAGACGAGGAACATTTTAAGCGAACAATCGTAAAAATTTTGTTTCGATCATTTTTTTCACCGTCTGCGGATTACAGAAACACGAACAAAAATGTTCGAGAGAATTGTTCGTGAAATCAAACATGTTTGATGTTTTAAAATTCTTTGTTCGCCGTCTGCGTTAACGACGAACATTAGCGCCAAACATTCATCGACGAAAGACCAATCAACGATCGAAGCCAGACCACATGACTCTCAAAATGGCGACGTCCAATGAATCCACCAACACAAAATTTTGGACTGTGGAAAAGGAGCAGATTTCAGAAGATATGTGGTCGCAATCTGCCTGTTTGTTTATGATTTCTTCGCCCGACTATTCAGATATGAACAAGAAGCACGAGCTTTGGAAACAACCGGTAAATTTACAAGGTTGCCGAACACACCCTGCTCTTTACGACGTTGAATCCAGGTACGGACCCTAACGCAATTTTACATTTTCTTCTGGACGTCGCCATTTTGAGGTCATGTGATTTTCCGTGGCACTGGCTTATTGTTCGAGCTAAATGTTCGTCGTCTGCGGAATTATGTTTGTCGTTTGCGGATAACGGAAAACAAATATATTTGTTCGATGTTTTTGTTCGTCGACAGAAATGTTCCTCGTCTGCGCTGGGCTTAAAAAAAACAAATTTGACAAATGTTGCTGAAACATTGGACAAGGTTCTTTTTAAGATTCGATTCACAATGTATTAGCGTTCATAAACCCATTTTTAAACGGCCAAGGCGAAATTATTTGACTATATCACTTTAACATATTTGCTTCTAGCAGTAATAATATTCCAAAATCATTTGATATTTTAAATCGCAGCTAACACGCAGTTTTATCAAATTCAGGAATATTCCCTTGTATTAATTGAATTCTACAAGAGATTTTAATCTGGTTTCAGAAGAATAATATTCCTGACATTCTGGAACTGTAAAAGACTAATCATGTTACATCGGATACCATTGTTAATATGGGATTCAAATTAAAATTTTCTAGACACAATTAAATATTACAATGAGTCATAAAATGTCTGGGGATTGGATTGTGTGAAACAAGTGTCTCATTAAATCTCTGCTAAATTTTCGGTAAAAGTTGGGAGTTAAAAAAAAAAAAGGTCAGAGGGCTAATTGAAAATTACTTGCAGGCAACATGAAGATAGGTCGGTATTCCATACGTCGAACATAAAATAGTATCATATATGTATATCGTTGTTTAATATGTCGAACATAAAATAGTATAATACACGTATGTCGGTGTTCAATATGTCGAACATAAAATGGTATAATATTTCGATGTTTCAAATTTCAAACATGAATTAGTATCGTATGTCGGTGTTCATATGTCAAACATAAAATAGTATAATATATCGGTGTTCAGTATGTCAAACATAAAATAGTATAATATATCGGTGTTCAGTATGTCAAACATAAAATAGTGTAATATATCGGTGTTCAGTATGTCAAACATAAAATAGTATAATATATCGGTGTTCGGTATGACAAACATAAAATAATATAATATATCGGTTTTCAGTATGTCAAAACATAAAATAGTATAATATATCGGTGTTCGGTATGTCAAATATAAAATAGTATAATATATCGGTGTTCAGTATGTCAAATATAAAATAGTATAATATATCGGTGTTCAGTATGTCAAACATAAAATAATATAATATATCGGTGTTCAGTATGTCAAACATAAAATAGTATAATATATCGGTGTTCGGTATGTCAAACATAAAATAGTATAATATGTCGGTGTTCAGTATGTCAAAACATAAAATAGAGTAATATAATGTTAAGCTACATGTATTAATGACTTCTCTCTGTTATCAAGAGAGTCCACTAAGCTCTAAAGCCTATAAATTTTATAAATTTGGCCATCCTTTCAAAAGTTGCCCTCTTTATGTGTTGACTATCCAATGTATATGAGCTCTAGTTAACTTATATACCTTACTTTGTTATATAGATACAGACAAAAAAAACAAAATATCAAATAAATATTTGTATCCAGTCCAGCTTCAGACCTACTGCTTGTCACATTTATTATAGAATAAATATAAATATTTAATATTATATTGTTCAATAAACAGATCGCGCCCTTTCAGCAGAAACAGATTGGAGCACTTTATGAATGTTGTGAATTGGCGTTTTTTTTTTCATTCTTAAAAGGAGCCGCGATGGCCAGAAAATATTTTCATAAACTTGGGTCTGGTTTCCCAATTGCATCATCCGAAATTTGGCTCCTTTAGCCTCTAATATCATGTTGGCAGGATATATTAATGGTATGCGTCTCTCTGAATAATGACCCTCATAAATATGGTTTACCTCAAGGTTTTCTCTTTTAAACACTCAATATTTTGACTACAAAAATACCTTACGCTTGCTAGATTGCACGATATGAATTCATTTTGACATTATCCATTGTAGGTCCGTTCTATTTACATTGTCTGTTAATGTTATTTTCATAAAGAATTTTTGAATTTTGTTTGTTATTCTTTTTACCAAGTCAAACATGTCAATCAATTTCGTCTATTTATTTTACAATGCAACATTCAATAAGTTCAGAACATACAACATCTTCTTTTATTGGAAGAATATTTTAAACGTATTGTTGGCTTGTTGTTTGAAAAACGTCCATTATTACTCTGCTTTATACAATATCTTGTAATATATTGGCATTTTGAGAAATAATTGATCCTAATTTTCCATGCTCATTAAAAGTGGGGAATGTAAAATGAACCAAGAAGTTATTACGTTCAAGAGCGATAATAAGTACTGCGTACTCCTACTCTAAATATGTACATTCTTCCATTCAATAATATTCTTGAATATATCTTATATAGAATTGTAAGTGTAATGTACCAAGGTGGGCTCACCGCATCTAACTAACTGGATCTATCAATATTGACATGGCCTAATCACTCCTACGGAACAGCTGGATTGTTGTTCCAACTGACTGCTCAGGTCGACGTTAGATCCCTATTTTTACTCAAGAGTAGAGCTTGTCGTAACTTTGATTTTCCGTCGGACCCTACAGTAAGATGGCACCATTTGTTAGTAGTCCTTTGCTCTTAGTTTTGTCTGGGAAAAGTTAGACGTAAAACTCCATTCATTTCATATTTCATTTAGTTTTGTCTGGAGCCAAACCATACAACCGCTATAAGCCTACCTTACCGTTCCTTGATTTATCACTTCGCGTAGCAATTCAAGGGAGATGACCATAATTCAAATATTATTTCATACTACAAAGAATTCTTTCTACTTCACAAAGAACCTCAAGATTTATATTTCTTGTGCAATTTAAGACACAAAGCAGTGTGTCCTTGGGGTGGTCTTTCCTACATCACATGGGTGTTGGGCTTTGAATAAACGAATTATTGGGACAGGTGAGGAGCACAGAGCAGGATTATTGATACAGTAGAAAATACATTTTGAGAACCCATACCAAGTGTATTCACTTCTTTTATTATATTATACCATATAATCTATATCCCCCAGTAGACTACATACCTCAGCATTTTGCATTACTATCTTATCTCAAATGATTTAAAATTTTGAAAGATGAAAAATACTGCAGGGAGCCTTTCACATATTTAAACCTCACTAACATGTATAAGATCCAATTGAGTTCTTTGTTGACAATCCCATGAAACCAGATAAGCCTTTAAGGACCTATTTTGAGTAGTAACCCTCAGAATATGGTTTTTCAGCATTTTTATAGAAACTACATTCAGATAAGACAATTCAAAAGATTCTGATTTTTAAAGAAGTGTAGTTAAAAATCACATAACTGCAAATAAAGTAAACTGTTGATATTTCTAACCTTGCATACTGCATGGTTTTACTTCAATCAATAGCTGTGAATGTTATTTTATAAACAGTCATACAACTCAAATTGTTTTTATTTTCATCAGTACCAGTCTCGTCCAGCACCGATATTATCATCACCATTATATCGGAATTCTTTCTGATCCTGATTATATTCATAGGTATATTTAGCTTTAAAATATTCCGAATTAACGTCAAAATTTTCAACTTTTTTACGACATGCTTTTTGAATAGTCTCTATTTTCATGTCATACACACTAGACTTTTCATTTTCATCCACAAGCTTTACTTCATCTTCAAGGTCCTTAGGTAAAATTTTGTGTTTGACTACAAATTCACCATTTTCCCTTAAAAGACAGTGTTCATAATCTTCCTCGCTTTTTGGAAGGCCATGAGGAAATGAAACAGGTCGTATTTCCAAAAGATGTTGGACAGATTTCAGCATTGCATTCATATCGGGGGTGTTTTTGAACACTCTGGATATATACAACTGAAATGAAACATAAAATGGTTTAAAATTTTGTCATCTTCACCACATGAAGCTATTACTTCATATTATACCTTGACTGCAATAGCCACTTTCTTGTATAACAGAATAATACCTCACTTACCATGCCAGAAAGGCACAAAAAAGTAAATTAGACATATTCTGAGCTCAAATCTCATACAAAAAAAAACTTCAAATGAATGGAGTTTTACCTCCTACTTTTCAGCAACTGATTAGGTTAATGAAGACAGGTAATGTTATGCAGTGTGCAATGAGGAAAATGTTGCTAGGACAGCAACATTAGCCTACTCTTTTTGATTTACAACTGTGAAGGCATCTTCACAGACTGTAGCAAACTTTTATGACCTTGGCTTGTTGTCCCATCTGATGATTAAACAAGTGGAAACTGTTTTGAAATTTCAAAAGGTATTATCTCAACCTATGCGGTGGGATGAACCCCAGACATTCTGACTAGAGAGCAAGCGACTGAGCTACCATGACTCCCCTCATACATTATACCAAGGACGGGTGCTTGGCTAAGGTATCCGGCTTTTTAGCAATTCCAAACAATGAAGGCGGCACTACAGCTTATTTACTTGAGAAACCCTGCTTTATATAGTTGGCATTTTCTTAACACTGTTGTATAATTCATCATACCTTTCCATATTTACCATCACCAAACAGTTTTAAGCGTTGAATAGTTTCTTTCTCCCAATAGGGTCTATATTTAACAGTTTTAATTCTGGTTACAAGATGTAACATAGCTGGCTCTTCAGGTTCCTTGGTAGGAGCATTTATTGCTGCCTCATGTTGCTCAATTATATGTTTAGCCCAAGACAAGTTCCTAGGATCTTCATTCAGCTTAAGTTTCTTTGATTTGTATTTGATTTTTCTGAACTTGTATAATCTAAGTTGATTTATGTTATTCGTAACCGGTCTAGTGAGGGCTAGTAAGCCTTGAAACTGAAATAATCAGAGTAAAGAACTGGTTTATAAATTACTCTCATTATAAAGTATGGCATGGTAGAAATAAATTATTAATCATTTTATCTTAATTATCTGTTATCTTTAATAATTCTGATTGACAAAAAGTTATGATGTCAACACATGTTACCTGTAATACACATAATCATTTTATATCAGGAGTGGGTCTTACTCTTTATACTTTATTACTTGATCAGTCAAAATGAAAATGTAGGCTAATCCTCCAAGTCTTGCAATTTCATTTCATGTTTGAAATTTCATATAAACAAGCCGTACATTCTGTACTGAGCGAAATTAATCATGATTCAAAATATGTCAATTCATTGCAATGGTATGATGAGAAGGTGGCTAACGCTTGTCACGACCATCTCCGCTGCAGACGATTTTCTACCATTTGTCGTAACGAAACATAAATCCAACTTATTATGAATCGTTTCATTGAATACTTTGTAGGTCTAGAGATTAAATATAAAGTCGGATTTAATACAAAAATGCGAACAGAATCCATTAAATTTGTAATTGTAACTCACCTTCAAGAAGGCTGCCATGATGGTTTTGCTCTAACGTCCAGTCTTTAAATATGTCAATATAATTGTTAAAGTTTGATAACCAAGACTACAAACTACTAACAACTTCGACCAATAACAACTTCGTCCCTTTTTCATTCATGATAAACTAATCGACCAAATAGACAATTTGATGATATATGTCATCAATACGTATAAATATTCTATCTACTTATTGACATGTAGGTTATGTAGTTTGATTTTTTTGTGAATGGATATAATACAATATTTTCAAATTAATCTCGGATATCCAGCGCAACCTGACCACGAAAAACTGATATTTTCACAATCTGTATATCTACTTGAAAATGGTAGCCTACTTAATCTGATAGCCTATCCATGACCCTAGCTGTAAACTCCGATGAGAGAGAAATGAACCACTTCTATGGAAGACAGCACACTCTTCGAGATATGGAGCCCCTTACTGTATTACGCCTATATTTTAAATATTAGGGGGATGAGAAGCGACACTGGGCCGACTTAGAAAGCTTTGTCACAGGCATCAGACTTTTTACTTTTTTACCTTGAAGAGGATGTCGCTCATATTGCTCTTATCCATATCACAGTGGCGTGTCTAGGGCTCAAGCCCTTACCACTCCCGAAAAGAGACTGGCCCCACTCTGTTCCCATGTCCTATCTTTCAATTTTTTTTTGTCATTTTAGATAGTGAAAGGATTGCAACCCCCTCACCTAAATTTCCTAGAAACGCAATTAGCCATAATTTTATGTTATCATCATAACGAAAAAATTGAGTCTCATTACTAGAAGTACTGTAACGTTAAGGTGAAGGATACTTGCATATCGATAAAGGCTTTTATGTATACAGAAAGAAATAATAATGGCCTGAAAGGCTTTATGTTTAATTTTATATCATAAAATTGCTCTTGGCATATAGTTTTATTTTAATCAAGTAGAAAATAGAATTCATTTACACAGTCAAGCTTGATAAGTTTACACAGGCATTTCTTCTTAAAACGTCTTAAAACGTCTTAACAAAGAAAACAATGTTGATTTTTCCGTTGCTACGAGGGAATCAATGAACACTTCTAAAAAAATCCCGACAATATCGCCACATTTTGAATCTTGTTCGATATATTAAACCTATCTGATGAGATTGGAAACAATGAATTGTTTATTGCTGCCATGACAAACGTCGCCGTCATCAATTCCGATATATTGAATGTTGGGCTACACAGTTCGTCCTTCAATATTGATTACCTTTCGTGTTCTTCGTATTTTAAAATTTCTAACAAACAAGTCTTAAAAGGACTGGGAGGCTGTATCTAGCTCTTTATCTATCCTGTAATTTAGGTAAGACTCTTTTATTTACGACTCTGAATCGCCTGTTGATAATACTCTTCGGATTTTTCAACCCGATTTCGTGATGCAGGTCGGAGGGATTGACATGGAAAAAGCGTAAAGTCGTTTGGATGGGATAATAAACCCCTGCATGGCGTTTATTAGCCCAGAAAGTGCAGAAAAGTAAGACGTAAAACTCCATTTCATTTTCTGGTTCGCCTGTTAAAGCTAAGTTCTGTTTACTTAAGATGTTTGATTCCACAAGCATCTTAAATGGTCAAGAGTAACTGTAGTATAACTTAGCCCGTTGTGAGCAACTTATAGATAGTACTAAGGAACCTATTTGGTATCTATACAATCCTAAAGGAAAAGATCAAGTAGCATAATGTGGTTCTTCTAACATGTAGATTAAATTTGCTGATATTGGTTGAAGATACGCAATTAACAATAAGATTTAGGAAAGATTTGCAAAAGACTTCAAATTAGTGCTAATGTATGGTTAGGGTAACCCAATGAAAAAAATGTGAAAGCTATCATATATGTTTTAATAGTTTAGGTGGATAAATGACTTGTGAGCAATAAAATTCATCGGAGGCCATCGCTGATGCTGGCGGTCAATTCGTTAATTGTCTAGCCTATAGGGATATGCTCTCTTCTTGTTTTGACCATGTAGTGTCGTATTTGCTGACCATTCAATAACAGAAAATAATTTCATTATATGACAAAGAAATTAGTCGTGTGTTAAACGTTCTATTCGGCAAAGTGTGCCTCGATTCATTAATAATTGCAGAGTGTACTTAATTCGATATTGTGTCTATCAGTTTGAGAAACATTGGACTTCAAGGATGGATAGCTAATAATTTGATAGTGATGAGCATTGCCAATTTGACATCTAGTACTTTTTTTTAGCACACATCATGTTTTTATGAACAAACACACCTTTGTCAGCCGATTCAGAATTTACGGTCTTAATCGGTAAAACCTCTTAGTGAATTTCAAAACGCTGCAGGTGCTATTCCCAAAAGTCACCAAGTCAGTAAAATGACCAAAGCAGAGTTGGTAGCGAAAATTGCTGAATTACAAGAAAACATAGAGTTGGATTATCAAAATATAACAATACATACAATTCATCTTATGTATACATTACTTTCAAGACATTCCAGTAATTATTACGGTTGTTGACAAATGGAGCAGGAGGGGGAAAATAAAAATGGTTTGCCGGATTAGCAGCAGCCCCCCCCCCCCCCCCTCCCTCCTCACAAAAACACGATCTTAATTTTCACAACTCGTGTGTCATGAGATGAAAAGATTACATTTCTATAATGGCTGGCCTTATCAACTAGATAAAATGAAAGAATTAGTGATCAAATGATATTTCAGTATCAGTTTCCTAAATTTGAGGCATCTGGCATAACTTTGCTTAAAATAACTTGGTAAATATAAAACGTCTGAAAATGTTGTATAGAATATAATGGTACCTAAGCAACGCTTAACAATGGTAATTAAAACCATATTAATCTTTGATATACAGGTTACATTAAATCAATACATGTATAACAAAATAACAATAAAACTCATTGTCATTATCTTTTAATGAAATGTTATTTGCATCATGAGTTATATGTGGCGGGTGTAGCACGCCAAGCAGACCATGCTTACTCTTTTCGAAACACTGTGGAGGAATCCACTACTATACAACTTTTACTCCAGATTTTGACATTCTTAGTACGGGATTTTTGATTGGTGTAATTGTCTTGCCTTTTTGCGGGTTTTTATTATGTAATGATTCCAACTGTGGTATACAAAGTTTACCTATCAATACATGTAAAATTCAGGACCTCATTTTATGTAATGAAGCAATCAATTGTTCATTTCAGTTAACCAAGTTCAGGATATTCAGCACTCGTATTGTAACATAATTACAAATAAAATGGAAGCTTTCGTGGTTTTGAGAACAATCTTATGAGATTTAGAATAGGTGGATGAAGAACTAAAAAATATCGCAGTTCATCCCGTCTTAAAAAATAAATAAACAGTGTATTATTAGGAATACAGTAAGATCTGTCGATCTTCAACATTAGTTCCAAGCTTGAGTACCTGCGAACACATGTCGGTTGTACAATTTCAAAATTAATATTATACCTTTCATATGAAAGCTAATTGGTGATCGAACGAGTCACAATTTTCTGAATTTCCGTCTTTATCTTGATTCACAAACAATGTAACATTTACCCATTTTAGGAAAAACTACACAGAAATCGGGTAATAATCGGGGTTTATTTTACTTGATTTCAGACACTCCCCTACAGCAGATCATTCACCATGATGAGCGCAATAAGACGAGGATCAATATGCTCATGCCTCAAAGACCCTTCCTCAGCTTACGTGGCCATGGATCATGAACTGAGAGCCAAGTTAGAGAAGTGTTTCTCCATGACGTTTAATGATGACGATGACGATTGTGGTTCCTCTGGCGTGATCGTTATGCAGATTAATGGTTCAGACACGATCGTTGTATTGGATGGACACAACGAATGCATCAAAACCTTTTGTTTAAAAAATGGTGAGCTACTTTCGAATCGCTATAAATTAGACGACCGTCCTAGCAGTATAACACAAACTGAACCTGAAAAAATAGCCGTTAGCTTCTTCGAATCCAAGAAGATCGCCTTTTATTCATTAGCCTTAGGATTTACTTTGGAGCGAACCATCGAAACCGAAAAACAATACTACAGCGTAGCAGCCGTGACGGAAACTAATTTCATAGCGAGCGCAGTATGGGACAATCCGGTCTGTGTGGATTTTCTGGAAATAACAGATGCAGTCAAAGTTATAAAATCTGTCACATCTTACGAAGATAAACCATTGTTTACGTGCCCAGAAAACATTTATGTGACAATCAAAAAAGATATTCTGATATCCGATCATGGCAGGAAAGCAGTTGTTTGTCTGGATGATCAAGGCAATATAAAATTTCTCTACCATCCAGCCTGTCAACACGAGCTAGAAACACCATTGGGCGTGACGTCCGATGACGAAGGCTATATTTATGTGGTAGACCAGTCGAGATGCCTTGTAGAAAAGATATCAACTGAGGGAAAATATATTGGTCCAAGCCTTACGGACCATGATGGAATCGAGAATCCAAGTACCGTTGGATTTGACAGCAAACAAAGGATGTACATTTCTCAAGAAAATGGCGATTTGAAAATATTTTCTTTAATGAATTGACATAATCAATTAATTTGTGTTTTTGTAATTGCTGTGAATCGTCGCTAACTTTGCGTGATAACAGTTCAAAGACAGTCTGTGATAACAAAATAGTGTGAATTTTTTAACGTTGTACCACAAAAAAAGACACTGATAAGTAAAAACTGGTGATATATTCTTCTAAGAGTATAAATGTGTAAATTTTATGGGTTTTTTTTTATCAAAATGATACTTTTGTTTTTCTCAGGACATTGTAAAACAACAAGTTTCCAGGTTTTTTCTCCAAAAGAAATTATTACCAAATGTATAAACAATATTACCTTATCGTGCGATGAGATAAGTATTTTTGATCATATTTCGTTCAGTAATGGTCGCAGTGATACCAAATATGTTTTGGGTGTGTTTCATGCAATAAAAAAATCGGAATTAGACTTGAGTCATATTATATGAAATCACAGTAGTCCAATCTTAATAAAGTGTTTCACGAGGAAAAGGTTTTTATCGAGGTTTATCACATTTAAAGATACAGTATAATATAATCATATTAAAACAAAATTGTTATCTAACAATTCACCGGATAATCCAGTTACATCTGTTTTCGGGCAATCTGATATTGAATGCCGACATTATGGAATAAACTTTTCTACCGACAAATTGTATAGTGTATGATTTGTGTTGATGTTAATTTTTGGTGTCGGTTTATAACTGCTGTTTTTAACAGTATTAACAGTACTTCTTCAGTGTTGTGGTGTATTTATTAATTTTGTGCCTAAAACTAATTTTATGGCTTGATGTTAAAGATATCTTACTCTACATCTATTCGTCAAAAATAAAATTATTTTTAATTTGTTTACCACTATTTATTAATAGTCGTATTATTTAACCTAGTAGCTCTGATACATGTGAATCTCTAGTGTTAACGTCTAGACTCTTCGTAACCCTTTGCGACGTTTTGACCCCCATTATTCATCTGAATGGAGTAAAAAATCCCAACAGAATTTCATTAATTATTTTCTTGGCAACGACAAATTTCCTATTAGGCTTGTCTGTTATCCCCTGAGGTGTTCACTGGTATCCAAGCCCTCAAAATGCCTGTCTAACATCATCTCTCAATACTTCATGTTCTTCATTCCCCAATTTCGTAGAGGCAAGAAATATATCCAGAGAGGCAATACTGTATTATGTTGAGTTGAAGTAATGGAATTAGTTGGTTGTCAAAATTTAGCAATGAAAAGCTTTTTTTTCTTTTAAATTGTGCTGGAGATATATATTGATGCTTTTCAGACGGACACGTTCCAAAGAGTAGAGTTATCTACCTTTCAATAATATGAGTGTTTGACTTCGAAGTTCAAGGGCTTTTACTAAATTGGACCATTACTTCTAAAACTTCCAAATACATAATAGTTGTGTCCCCAATTCGCTTTTTTCATGCAAACGATGTCCCAAGATATCGAAAGTGAAACTAGGAACACAGTCTTGGGTAGTATGAAGTACAAAATGCTGCAAATTTTCAGTCTGTGAAATATGGGTGAAAACCTTCGAAATCCATGTATAAGATGATGTTTTAGTATATGTATTTATAAGTTAAGGGCATTAAAATGTCTCGAAAGATTACATTTGGTACACGGTATGGCATGTAGACAAAATATGCGTGCTGTTTTTTATAGTATCACAATAAACTAATGCATGCATGTATCAAGTTTAGACTAAGGCCTTTGTAACAAGGAGATGAGACCATCCACGCTCATTCATTTAACTGAGACTTCTATCAGTTAAGAGCAGCAAACAAAACCAGCATCATTTTCAGAACATCTGCTGCATGATGTGTTCTAATGATTTTATGACAGCCTAAAATTAACAAAATGGACGATCTATCCATATCGTTATTTCGTCTATCTCATGGTGTTTTTTATGATTCGGGAAGCAATGACGTAAAAACTTATCTCCTTTCACACCTTAATGCAGTCTACTAAGGAAATTATGTATAAGCCATTGCTCTTCAACTATAAAGTTTATGGTCAGCTATCTCATTATAGCCATTAACCACAATATAGACGGTCATTATTAGACTACCACAACAAAAGAAAGTGTCGTATGAAGATTCTAGCGTTATCAATAATAGGCGATTGATGAGAACCATTGGAGCGTTGAACACTGAAATCCATTGTGTGTTTCTAAGATAGATATTAACATAGTTTTTAATACTTATGTTATTATTAAATTGAAAGGCAATCATTCTGAACACTGTCGGTCTCCTGATGATTTTACACGTCTTATTACTAATGGGAGGTGCACAGGAGTGTAAAAACTCCAAGTACTAAAGATCCTAGCTGCAAATCGAAACTCGAAATCCACAATGACAGTTTCGGTAGCAACAAACGAATAACTGGTATGAGGAAGAATGGTAAAAAGTATAGAACTTTCCGTTTCGAGAAATTGCCCTGATGTCCAACTTTTCTGGCCAATTGGTGGATGCGTAATTAAGACTGTCATACACAATTTCTATGCTAAACATTTGTATACTAATATACAACCTGAACTAACGATTACCCATGCAGTTTTCAGTAGATTCAATTGATTCACATTTTCTGTCTTTTGTTTGAAAGCTTTCGAGCGCAATGTTTTATCCCTCAATTTATATACTAATTAATATATCCATCTATGTCAGATGTTACATATATTGAATACTTAGCAATTTGTTATTTAACTATTGATCTCTCTTGAAACAAATTTCGCAATATATCCAAATTTAAATGCGAGGCATATTGGTAGTAAGTGCATTGAGCTATTGTTATTCAAAGGTGCATAACTTTCTGAATAGAATATACACATAAAACTTTGTGGTTTTTGGATGATCCCACATAACCACGCTTTGTTAAAACGTGTCAAAGCTAGCTTGTACTTATTCACACTTCAAAACATATTTATAACTATCTATTCAATTATAAAGTTCATGTACATTCAAATAATTGAGATTGATACGCTCCATGCTTTATAAAGTAACATCGGTAATGTCAGTTAACGGCCTCTTTTCAAAAACTTTGACCGAGATAATTCTTCAGGCCTCTACAAGTATTCTTCATTTATAAAGTACTTTAAGTATAGAATGTTGGCAACTGGACAATGGTTTAAGAGGTAGACGAGTAGAAAATGAAGAGGTACAATACAGGATGGAGACAATTGGATCTCTGAACGTGTTAAAATAATGACTGAAATCTACTACTTGATTGAACTAATCGTGTCGATTTTGTTTTACTTTGATCTGTCAAAGACAACTATTCCAACCATTGTGACCAGTCCCTTGACAGTTGGAAATCGAAAAAGAACAGGCTAATGCCACTTTCCTGGCGTAATTGTCCCTCATTGAACCCTGCATGGCGTTGCCCATCTTCTTTTGCCCACATAGTGCAGAAAAGTAGGACTTTCATTTCATTTCTGGGGGTTTGCGCCCGTGGACTTGGTTCAGTAGTTGTGCCACTGTGTGGGGCGTGAAATCTGACGATTGGCCGTGAGATGGTCTGCAATAGAGATGACCGTAGGTAAATGTTTAGATGTCTAAGAAAATATCAATAATATGGAGTCAATCAGCAGTCAAACTATCTGACAGAGCCAGCCTCAGATCAATAAATCACGAAACATGATAGTGAACTCACATCAAGACCGGTTTAAGCTTTAGGCCTTTTCATATTCAGTCTTTTTTCTCGTCCATTATAAGACAACAACCAAGCAAACAAAAGACTTTAAATACTCTAGACGACTGACTGTGGTGGACTACTTCACATAGGAAAGTTCAACAGAGCGTACGGTGTGAAGGACAGAACTAGTATGAAGTTTAACACCATATGGACCTTTATATACTGAAAAGTAATACTTTATGATAAAGAAATATGCGGTTGGGTGTGGCAGAAACGTACATGTATTAGTAAAGGCAAATTACGAAATGTTCGGGTATGGTCGATTGCTTACATCTATAGTTGATATTTAAACAGGTAATATTTTTACATTCATACTTGAATTTGTATTCAATTTGTAATTCAAAACCTTTTAAAAAAACATCAATTCAATATTGTGTCACCTGTTTTTGAATGCTTTTGGAACATGGATGTTACGATTTGGACACAGGGGAAGAATTTAGGAGATCAAAAGAAACCGGTAGGTTCTATGTAAGTTTTTGTTGCAGAATAGTTTGATATACCAATTTATTTCATGTTCTATGTTAAGTTATAAACTAGTATTGGCTATAGTGGTATCTTGTTTTATGTCATAGGCTTTTGTTCCTATTTGGTCTTTCAAAAGCTGTGTAATGTGACATCTTATTTTTCGAACATAAAAGCTAACCGTAATAGCTAAATGCTGTCTCCATTTACAAGGAATGACACAAATTTGGAATTTAAAAAAGAATATCGTAGGTATTGAGTTCTGTTGTTAGGGACGTTCAGAAATTCAAAATGAAATACATATAAGCCCCCAATTGGTTTATGTTCAATATCTTGACGCACTTATAAATTTTTAATGTGATGATATATATCACTTTCGGACTTAAATATATATTAAATAGATTAACTAATATTGCTTGTATCTGAGTTATTGCAATTATTTTCCTATACGCCTGGCTATCTGCACTGTGACGATGCGTGTTCTCTATTGCTCTATTGGTACGGATAAGATAAGACACAAAAGGCGCACTAGTTTTTGGGTTTTTTTTAAAGTGTGAAGCAATTTTGATTGTCAAGAATGATATTAAGTGACTTTGTTAGGGTTAGGTAGGTAGGTTTTTAATGTCCTTTCTTGTACCGTCGCGGTGCGAATAGCCACGGCCTTTCCTTTAACCTAACCTAACCGAACCCAATCGTCCACGATAAACTTGTTAGGTGGAAAGATTAAAAGAGTGGATGAGCATTCATTAACCTTACGGCTTTTTGTCATCAAATTGGCGCTGCAGGTTCGCAACTCCTAATATCACAATCTTTCTTGAATCAATGCGTTTTAGGGTAGGTATCGACAACATTTTCAACACTAGTAAAACACTTTTGTAAATAGTTTAGGTGTATAACGGTGACAGTGACTGGGACATTATATATTATTTAGAGTGGGAAAGAAATACTTGCTGAACCAGTTTTCTTAGTCAATCATAAAAAATAGTACTGCGTATAGGGGCATCTATTGTTATTGAGATATTGTAGATGTGAAAGTTATTATCAACTGTTTATTTTGATCAAGCTGCTTTTCCAACCGTTGTATTATGTTCTAGAGTCCAGAAGATTGTAGAAGTTAAGACTGTGTAATATAGTAAGTATAGTGAGTCAAGGAATTCGGTATAGAATTATCATTGCTTTCAGTCTGTATTCAAAGGTAGTGACGCATTACCGTATATTCCATATAAAACTATATTCCTTATAAAACCAATTATCGTTGCTTTCATTATGGATTCAACGGAAGTGACGTACGATCGTACATTCTTTTTAAATATAATTATATAGCTCTAAAGAACAAATACTATTTTCTTCGAGCTCTTTAAAAATAGCGCTTCTGAACGAGTAGATCCTTAAATAAGTCATAATGTAATGTCGAAGATATTAAGTTATTTATTACCAATCGAATTAACCCCTACTTGTACGTATTTAGCAGGCTTATTAACCCCCTAATTATCGTACTTTCATCGTGGGGGGTAATATTTGAATACCTAGTTTGATCTGGTTTATTGATCTCGTATCAATAATCTAGAATGTGGCTAAGTCAAGCTTGACCGAACTTAACCATGTTTCAACCTAAAGGGGGTTTTTCCATTTGGGTGTTCTAAAACTTAGCGAGAGAAACTGCAAGTGCCTTTGTTTTGATTATCTAGATGATATTAAATCTCTCAATTTGTTTTAATTTTAAAGAAGACATGGATAATACGTTTCTATTTGAAAGGTTCCTATAGTACAGAAAACATTGCACCCAAAAACTTTCATATCTTTGTAATACATTAACCCATCTGTATTTTGTCAAAATATTTCTGTGATATAAAGGGGTGACAGAGGGTTAACGATAATATGATAACCTATAATAGCGACCCGTCAACGACTTAATCTATTTATCATGATTGTATTATTTACGAACTGGCTATTCAGTTTATTGAAATTAATCATGTGAGTCATGAACAGAGGGGTTTGATGAGTAGGGCATTTTACTAATCTTACGATTCCGTCAAATTCAGTCGTTTAGATTTTAACTGCAATTGACTCGGGAGTTAGCAAGGAGTTCCAAAATGGATTTAAAAATATCTTCCGCCCAAAATCCTAATGGATGGATCTTAAAATTCTTGCAATTTTTCGTTTGATCAAAAAAATAGTAAAAAGGAATGAAAATTATGCATTAAGTTAAAATTATTTTCTTTATTATTCCTTGTCATACCCAAGTCTACAACCCCTTAAACTCCTCACCCCCAATAGGTTCGCCTATGAGGAAAATGATTACGTCAGACATTTATACTGTTTCTCATTTTATCCTATTGAATGTATGAACCCATATTGCTTTCATCACGCTATACAGTTTCAAATCAATTCGCCAAGGAATAGAGCATCAAAAATCAATCATATTATTATTACCTCCACGAAGTGTTTGTCTGAAAAAGAAACGTTTTAGCATTTTATATCGTCTGAGCATACGATATTGTGACTTATTAATCAGTATAGCTACAAGGTTATGTATAGTGTAAGGTTGTAAGTCACTAATTAGTCGTTTTACCAGTTGATTTTAAGGTCAACGCTGTGTTTGTTTCTTCGATCGATCGTTTTTACCATATTACCAGTTAGTGTGAAAATTATTCATTTTAATTCCATTCTAAACTTGTCTTATAACTTGTCTCCTTGTATTTCAGGAGGGAATGAGGGGCTGTCGGTTCCTGGGAAGGCGGAATGGTATTAGAAGATATCTAATCATAGTAACAATTCTGGTCGTCATGGTCATGGGTGGAATTAAGATAGGTTCCAGAGATGATGACTTTCGACTTTTGCAAGAAAATAGGGTTAATCAAGAAGTTGTTATGTTCAATGAGGATAACCCTAAAGTAGATATTCAGAAAGGCGATGAGAATGTTGATGTCGGACTGGAAGACAAGGTTGACCTGGGCAAAGGCTCTCCAACTTATGACAGTGAAGAAGACGAATACTATGTTGAGAGTAAGGAACACAAAACGGACCCAGTGCAGCTCGACCTACAAGATGATTCAGTTAAACAACAACAGCAGGACAACGAATTCAAGATTCAACAGCTGCATCAAAACTCTCAAAATAAATTTGCTGTTCACACTTTTGCTAACTTTGGGGATAGTAAAGACACAAAAAACCACGAACAGTTTGATCAAAATATAGTTAGCGAAGACCAAAAGGATAGGAATCAAATCCAAATTAAGCAAAACAATAATCACAGTCTTAAGGAAGAAACAGATAAAGCTAAGGCAGTATTAAGTTTTCATCCTGAATCATATTACGACAGCGAAGAAGAAGATGTTAATGACATTCAAGAAGGGAATGATAATGAAAAGACTACAATGCCTGCTATAACCAAAGTGATCACGTTTTCTCAATATGATTCTGAAGAGGATACTGATGATGTCCAACTGAATTCTCTCAGTAATGTTGACAGAATAGATAACAAAGTTGTGTCAAATATAAACGCTGAAATTGCAATTGATGTAGATGTTGCAAACGCTCATTTACCTTTAATTGTGCCAAATATAGTTCACTTTGTGTGGTTTGGAGATAATACAATGACATTTAATCAAATGCTAAGTATTTTATCAGTGCACCATTTTGTAAAACCAGAACATATTTACTATCATTGTGACTCACATCCCAAAGGAGAATGGTGGCAGCGAGTTATTAGCATAGTGGTCAATATAAAGGTAGACATCATGTCCCCTCCAAATGAAATATTCGGATTTAGAATTTTTACAGCGAAACAGCAAGCTGATGTTGCAAAACTTCAAACTCTTATGACCCATGGCGGTATATATTTAGATACGGACGTTATAGTAACAAAATCATTACAACCGCTACGTTCTTACGAATTCAGTATAGGTTATTCGCAACCTGGGCGGTTCGATAGTGACATAGTGATCTCAACTCATACGTCCAAATTTTTACAAAAATGGTTAGTAGCGTATACACAATATTCAAGTGCTGGAGGTGATGATTTTTTCAGCTGTGTAGCGCCATATAAATTATATAAACAGTATCCTGATCAGGTCCACGTAGTGAATAAAATGAGCACACCAACAGCTAAAAATGTGTATTCCTTATATAATGGAGATTTAGACTGGACGAATCATTACGCAGTGCATTTATGGAGACGATTACATGATCAAGTGGATAATTTAGACACTATAAAAGATTTGGACACACCTTATGGTAAATTGGTCAAGTTTATTTATAATAAAGTATAATAAATAACTGCCTTGATATTAGATTTAGAAATTATGAGTTCTGCTGTTTAAACAGTATCGATGGCGCGGCTATTCTATTACGACACCGTCGTAGTAACCCATTCAGCTAAAGTTTATTCAGTGAACGTAAGCCAGACACGACTGCTATTTTCAGTATATCAATTAGTGTAAAAAGTTGTTGAATCGGAGCCACATTCAAGCCAGACTGGGATACATTCCCCTTTCCTACACACAGATTTGAATATAAAAGCTAAAAACTTTCAAATATAACAGACGGGCGGACGGACGGATGGGTGGGCAGAAAGGGTGGGCAGAAAGGGGTGACAGCAATATTCATCCACATTACAATGTGGGCGTATAAAATGATACAAGTAAACAACGAGCTGTGTAGATTTTAAGAAGTATGCACATATCAAACCAAGTTGTCAGCTTTTCTCGACCAAATTGATTTCTTGATCGTGAGTTGTTATACTCAGTTAACTGATTTGCGTAATACGTTTAGCCAACTGTTAAAATTGTGGGGGTCTTAAACAGTATAGATACTGAAAACGTTCTTGATTGACTGAATTGGTAATACATGTTATCGCACAAAAAAAGTATTGGTGGTCAATTTACCATGCCAATATTAACTACCTATTGTAGGTACACATAAAAATGTTTCCCGAACCATACATAGAGAAAGTAATTTGCAAAAGCCACATTCTTCGTCCGAATTTTGAATTATTGAACACAATGGTATAAAAATACAAAAGACAACCCGTTTCAGTCGACTGATCTTTTAATGAATTTTCTTTTGACTGTTTTCAATGTGATTAGAGTTTTGAAACAATGTATTTCATTGTGATAAAACACTATCATAATTATTTAATTATTGATGAACTAAACTTTTACTTTATAAAACTTGTGTCCTGCCATTGGGGTCTCGGATTAAGACCACTGGCATGCTGTTTCGAATATCCAAAACCTTATTAGCAAATGACCAATCAACGATCCTTGTAATTTCGTTGAGAATAAATCATTTGAAGCTCATATATAAAATCCTTTTTATCTTCAAAACAAAGTACACCTTTCGAAGTAATGATCAGAGATCGATATCTTGAGAGTTGCTGAAAATGTCCCATACACCTGTAGACTAGATTCATCAATCATCTTCGTGTCAGCAATAATCGACGCTACCTCTGTGAAAATAGTCATAGAGTAAGAATGGACAACAATGGCTGCATCTGTTGACCATTGTCTCTACCAGCTACATTTCTTCCTTTCGTGTATGTGTGTAATACTTGTCTTCTATTGGCCCCTAATGTCGACAGTCTTCGAGGTCGAACATAATAGAAATAACACTCATTCAACTTGTAAATTGACCTTGTTCAAATATCAAATAAAGTAGACCCTTCATATAAATCAGGTACGGCTAGCTGTCTTAAGCTAATAGTCCGAAATATCTCTTGAAAAGAAATAAGAATTCCTCGAAAATACCAATATCGTTAGCAAAAGATGAGGTCTTGTCAATTGGATATGTAAACTTTTCCGTGAATTTTGTCAGCGTGATATTCAACGTTATAACCGACCTGTTTAAATATCAAGACCGCTAGACCATAGATGGATTTCTACCAGTATGTAATGTAACGACCATTCGGATTATCAATCTTATTGAATATATATTATAAATCAATGGTCTTTACAAACCATAATACACTCCTTTCTATAGTCTTCTTTCATTCGCATTTTTATCTAACCTTATATTCAGAAGGTATATTACCATCTGAGTGATCATGTGTCTCCGTCATGAAAACTAGATTTTATATTTTTGCTGGAATATTGTCATTATTACCTTTAGAAAGTAAGTAAGGTGATACTTTTTATCTCATCAAGATAAAGAGTGATTATATGTAAAGTGACTGCTGAATGAATTAGTATGGAAAAATTGTGGGGATGGGGACAATCATTACATGTCCTTTTTCCCATTCGACATACTAGAACCTTGTTATTTCGGATATCTTTGTAGAGAATTGCTTTACAAATGGATTGTATGACAAGACGTGCTATGCCAAACTGTTGAAGTTCAACCAAGGATTGCCAAATAGTTCTATGCTGATCATTTCATTGCTCTGTAAATTAAATGGATAGCAACAACTGATCACTACAGAGATCTTACACTGTGTAAAGATTTGATGAATTGATGTTTCTAATGAATTATCATGTATTCTTAATCATATCGTTATGTTCTTATTGCATATAATTTAGAGTTTAATCAATTATAAATGTCCAGGTAAGTACAGACTGGATAAACAAAAAAGGCTTTTTGACCTTTCTTGATCGGTCACTCGGCTGGCAATTTTCTTCTAATTTAGCTAATTATGAACTATTATGGACAACTGGTATTTTTCAAAGTCAATAGAACACCTGTACTTTCTATTCATATAAGTATTAGCATTTACATTTTCATAAATTAAAATAAGGGAACCCATGCATGTAAAGTAAAAGTAGATTTTTGTCTTTCTGTTGAATTATATCATTCTCATTCATGTTATATTGGTATAGTATTAACCCCTTCTGTCTTGTTTGAAATGTAGTGACGACATACTGGGGCAAAGAACACAAGAAAGTACCCATTCTTGCTCGATCAGTGCAATACGGGTCTTGACTGAATCAAGCGGTATACTATTTGCAATATATTCCTTTTAGTACCAATATGTGAAGGGTTGGATTGTTACCAATGTATAGAAGGTTGGACCAGTGAATCTTGTACAGACTCTATCATAACTTGTTCTGCTGGGGACATCTGTTCCAATACTGTGACTAGAAAACAGTTTTATGGGCGTCTTTATAACAAGGTCAGTGTATAGCGTATTGTTTCTTTTGAGTTTATAAACCAAATTGTCTGATATTACTGGCAGTTTTTTAACTGATGATTTAACTCAATTCTTATTTTATTGGCCTGTTCAAAGCAAACAACTGTTCATTTGACTATTTGACCACAATTGACTATTTACATCATTTTAGTATTTAACAAAGCATTTTTTAATCTATTTTAATTCAAATGAACAGGTGATTCCCTACAGTCCATCCCAGAAAGATCAAAACCAGTAGGGTGTTGACTAGAATTAAGTTCGGATTAGTCAACGTCTGATTTTTAACAATTATATAATTTCCTTTCTAGGGTTGTATGAGACCAAATCAATGCTACGACTTGCAGTTATTAAACAACAGAAAAACTTGTCAAGAAACACCATCAACGTGTGTTTTTTGCTGTGAGGGACGATTGTGTAATAAAGCAGAAACAGTTCATGGATTACCAATGACAATTATAATGTCCATGGCAGTAGCAACTTTACGCGTGTCTCTAAGCGTGTACTCTCATTAAGAGTTAAATAATTAGTTCAATCGTGTGTGAAATAGAAAACATTTAGTATTCAATTTATACTTCAACATATTTTACTTTAGAATAATATAAATGAATAAATTAACAATAACAGTAATTTGACACCTATTTCAGCCCATTTCCCGCTTCTCCGCCATATTCAACAGATCTTTCGTTTAGAAAACCATTTCCTGATTCTCCACCATATTCAACAGATCTTTCGTTTAGAAAACCATTTCCTGATTCCCCGCCATATTCAACAGATCTTTCGTTTAGAAAACCATTTCCTGATTCTCCACCATATTGAACCGATCTTTCGTTTAGAAAACCATTTCCAGATTCTCCACCATATTGAACCGATCTTTCGTTTAGAAAACCATTTCCTGATTCTCCACCATATTCTACTGCTCTTTCGTTTAGAAAACCATTTCCTGATTCTCCCCCATATTCTACTGCTCTTTTGTTTAAAAAACTATTTCCTGATTCTCCCCCATATTCAACAGATCTTTCGTTTAGAAAACCATTTCCTGATTTTCCGCCCTGCTGTACTGATCTTTCGTTTAGAAAACCATTTCCTGATTTTCCGCTATTTTGTACAGATCTTTCGTTTAGAAAACCATTTCCTGATTCTCCACCATACTCTACTGCTCTTTCGTTTAAAAAACCATTTCCTGATTCTCCCCCATATTCTACTGCTCTTTTGTTTTGAAAACCATTTCCTGATTCTCCACCATATTCTATTGCTCTTTCGTTTAGAAAACCATTTCCTGATTCTCCACCATACTCTACTGCTCTTTCATTTAGAAAACCATTTCCTGATTCTCCACCATATTCTATTGCTCTTTCGTTTAGAAAGCCATTTCCTGATTCTCCCCCATATTCTACTGCTCTTTTGTTTAAAAAACTATTTCCTGATTCTCCCCCATATTCAACAGATCTTTCGTTTAGAAAGCCATTGCCTGATTCTCCGCCATATCCTACTGCTCTTTCGTTTTGAAATCCATTTCCTGATTCTCCCCCATATTCAACAGATCTTTCGTTTAGAAAGCCATTGCCTGATTCTCCGCCATATTCTACTGCTCTTTCGTTTTGAAATCCATTTCCTGATTCTCCGCCATATTCAACAGATCTTTCGTTTAGAAAGCCATTGCCTGATTCTCCGCCATATCCTACTGCTCTTTCGTTTTGAAATCCATTTCCTGATTCTCCGCCATATTCAACAGATCTTTCGTTTAGAAATCCATTGCCTGATTCTCCGCCATATCCTACTGCTCTTTCGTTTTTAAATCCATTTCCTGATTCTCCGCCATATTCAACAGATCTTTCGTTTAGTATATTTTTGAACAAAGGCAATCCGGATGTATGGAGCACACAGGACACAATTATAACTCCAATAATGGCTACCATTGTTTTCATTTTCTTCTGAAATTACATCGTTTTGCATACAGAATAATGTGGTAATGGGGATTTAGAAGTTTATCCCACTGTTCATTGTTGAAAATGTTCTTTTTAAAAGTAAGGTATAGTAGTTGTAAGAACTGCAACTATAATGACCTTGTGCAATGCTACTTGATCGACACGTATAAGTATGGACAATGTAACATCGTGATAGAGACTCTGATTTTGAGGGGCGTACAAGATATGTCGTACTATTCAATTTGTCCCAGTTGTGTCTATGGTGTTCTCACCCTAATCAGATGTAATAGCCGGGTTGTTGTTTTCATCAGATGTATGGAATGTTTTTATCTAACCATAATATAAAGATTAATAAGTAGAATTAAATTGCTCTTCCTTTAAAATAAACTTTTAGCGTATAAATTCTAAATACTTACAGTTTGGAGGTATCAATAAACTTTGTGGATTTGAATTTTCAGTGATTATATACTAGTGCTCAACAAATTGACTAATTATTCATATTTGTGATTTATATCCCATGATTTCATATGCATATATTATCATGGTTTTTGATGAACAATTTCACGGACTATACACAAATTTTCAATTTAGTTTTTGTTTATAGACTGTTCATAATGATCACAAAAGCGGTTTTAGCTGTGTAATGGTCTACGCAACTTAACCAATACCAATTTGATAACACTCCCTAGCCTCATAAGCTCAATTTGAGCGTACCATTTGTTTTCTTTCACGTTATACAAATATTCAATTTTTATTTATGACGACATTTTTCGACTTCCAAATTTTCAGCTGAAACCCATCGTGCTTGGCAGATAGGTATTTATCTGTAGATGTAAGTCTACATACATGATGTGATTAAATAAATAATAAATTAGTATATGAAAGATACTGTAATTAGTCATATTAGGCAGGTTTGCTAGTAGACTGCAAGTGCCTCAAAGCAAGTCTTTCCTTCGGCGAACTAGTTAACTTATACCAGTATGAAGACGAGTTCCTATCCATAAAAAAGCTATAGATAATACATTAAGAGGCAAGAATCCTGGCTTTATAGTATTTTGTTCTTCTCCCTCGCTTCCACTTCGATTGTTTGGGGTGGGGGTTTTAAGAAACTTTTACCCCAATTTCCAAATTTGTATTGAAGAATGTGCAGGATTTACAGGAATGATCAAGTCGTTTGCTTTTGGCAGTAGAAGGCGTCTTTCTCATAACAATTGAGTATCATCACTGAGGTAAACACACTAATTTAAAATTAATGTTGTCGAGGGAGGGGGGGGGGCGTGATCGGATATGAAAGGACCACACCAAGGGTTTAATTAACATATGTTTATTAACATATATAATAATAATAGCATTACAATCAGGTAACATATATACAATTAAAATAGAATAGTTATTTACTCTTAACTAAAATACTAAATACTATCTGCACCACTAAACCATAATCATATAAAGCATATAAAAATAACTAAACTATGCATAAATCTGCTGAGAACAAATAAAGTAAGCGTAATCAAATGTAAATAATATAATAAACCTACTATGTAAAGGGGTTTTAACTAAACTTATATCTATGAGATGGGGTGAAACAAGTTACCAGCTGGGATCTGGAAATGAAAGGATATAAAAGATATTGTAGTGTGAGATATATTAAAATGAAGAGCAAAGCTGGGGTAAATGTAGGTGAAAGTAATTATATATTGAGATAACTATAGACTTATGCAATAGGAAAAACCAAGATGGCTGACCCTAGGTAACTATGGTAAACAAAAGACAACATACCTTAAACAAGAGAATCCAAATATGCAGAATATATTGAAAGAATATATCTGACAAAACACTAAATCCACAAATTCCTTATAATATTGAATGAGATTCAATATACGTATAATAATTATCATAAATATCCATTTCCTTGCAGTTTGAAAACTAAAACCTGAATGACAACCAAGGTTGTCAGGCCAAAAACACTAATTAATATAGTTCAGGCTAAAATTAGAAACTCTGAGGTGATGAAAGCTCAGAGACAGAGAAAGATATAAGAAAGAAACAGAAGCAGTGAAGTGCGACTGATTGTAACAGTGACAGAAAATAACTTTATAACCATTAAATACATTTAATTTCAACCTTCAACTTCAAAACTGTGTATATACTACTATTATAGTAATAAAGATAACAACATACTACAGTATTCAAATTGATAACCAAATACAATAATTTGTTACACGTTCATACTATAATCGTGATGATTACACTTTGTCTTTATCAAATTCAAAATGGCGACCAACAAGAACAAAGCAGCTGTTTTGTATGCTGCTAATGACCTTCGACTTGTAAGTAGCCTACATGATTAAATTGTTAGCATATAACTGCACAGTGGGAGCTAAAAGGAGGGTTTCCTTTTCAACTCAGTTCCCCATGTCAATGATTCGGGTTAAAGTGGCTGCTTTTACTAAGAGTTTTTAGAATATGTAATGCACCGTCTGTCGATTTTGACATTAAACCGAGGCTCGTGTGCTACATGTTGTGCACGTTAAAGATCCATGCAAAGTTTCACATTTTTTTGTGATTTAGACAGTGAACGTTTAAGATATCTTGATAGTATAGGCCTATACATTTAAAAAGAGCGTAGCTCTGCCCCACTAAAACAACTATTTTATAGCGTCACTAACCCAAAGGCCATCAGATATTTTAGCAGCTTTTTGTGATAGTGACATAATAAAGCACATTGTTTTTAGTGGAAGTGCAAGGACAAAAGATTTTGGACTGAAAATTGGAATGGGGCAAATCAGTGTTGCCGGTACACATAAAACATCTCCCTTAACAAAAATCATTTGAGAGGAAAGCAAAAATATACTGATTATTTTGTAGGAGGATATAGCCGTGCCTGTACCAGCAGATACAGGTAAGATGTTAACTACTTCTTAGACTGTCTCATATGGTCCATTTTATGAAACCCACCTCAGACGATAACGAAAGAATTCAGTCCATTTAACAGTCGATATAACTCGATATAAGCTATCCAATTCACTTTTTATAATTAATATTTGACGCCCAGTTCCTATACTAAACCATAGTACTCTTCTTCAGGTCTCATTTCCAGTGCGTTAATATTATTCTCGCGTCGAATTATTTATCTTTGACGTCAGGTCCCTTAAAATTTCTATGGAACATAACTTATATCTTTACTGGGAATTTTTCTATCCAAATGCTTACTCAATTAGACACCCAATGCCACTTTTCATTATGAAATACTTACTCGCTTATGATTGATATACTTCATCTTGTGTAAAGTTCATAAGCTGCCACCAATGTTTTGCCAGTATGTTGTTTGGATTTTGGGATTCGTTTTGCGGTTCGGATCGTTAGAACGTGGTTTGTTTGTCCATATATCCTGTGTTCTTACTGGTCTCAATGTTTCTAGATGTCTTACTATCTATGGGTTCAGTTGGTCTATGTGGATCAGATATTAAATATTGGTCTTTGGGAAAGTGTGGCCGATTTGTAGTCACTGATCGTATGGTACTTGGTCATGAAGCCAGTGGAGTGGTGGTTAAAGTTGGAGCTAAAGTCACTCATCTTAAAGAAGGTAGGCATCTTAATTTCAGCCAGTTGGCATATTCAGATGATTTTGCACAAGGAAATCGCTTGTTAAACAAGTTCCTTTTGAAATAATTAAGTGTATAAACTTACAGTGTTAATTAACAAGTGGATATTGTGTTTTCAAAAGTCATATAATGGCTAAGAATAAGCCTGTAGCAAACATAGATTTAACACTTTGCAATAATGTAGATTATCTATTTATTGTGGATGCAATGGCTAGATATATTTAATACAACGTATAATCTATAAATAATATAGATTGTGTATTGTAAATAGCCAATACTATGTAGATAATGTGGATTGTGTATAATGAATAGCCAAAAGGTAGATGATGTAGACTGTGTATAATGAACAGCCGGTACCGTGTAAATAATGTAGATTATGTATAATGAATAGCCAATACCATAAGTATATTGGAGATGGTGTATAATAATTAACCAATACCATGTAAATATGTAGATTGTTTATTGTAAATAGCCAATACTATGTAGATAATGTGGATTGTGTATAATGAATAGCCAAAAGGTAGATAATGTAGATTGTGTATAATGAATAGCCGGTACCGTGTAAATAATGTAGATTAGGTATAATGAATAGCCAATACCATGTAGATAATGGAGAGGGTGTATAATAATTAACCAATACCATGTAAATAATGTAGATTATATATTTACTTGTGATTGAGTGGACATATAATATAATATAACCTAGATCTTGTAGATAATGTAGATTATATATTTACTTGTGATTGAGTGGACATATAATATAATATAACCTAGATCTTATAGATAATTATAGATTGTGTATTTACATGTGATAGAGTGACTATAAAACTATAATATAGCCTAGATCTTATAGATAATGTAGATTATATATTTACAGGTGATAGAGTGGCTATAGAACTATAACATAGTCTAGATCTTGTAGATAATGTAGATTATATATTTACAGGTGATAGAGTGGCTATAGAACTATAATATAGTCTAGATCTTGTAGATAATGTAGATTATATATTTACAGGTAATAGAGTGGCTATAGAACTATAACATAGATAATGTAGATTTTGTATTCACCTGTGATTGAGTGGATATAAATTATAATATAGCCTAGATCTTGTAGATAATGTAGACTATATATTAACAGGTGATAAGAGTGGATATAAAACTATAATATAGCCTCGATCTTATAGATAATGTAGATTGTGTATTCACCTGTGATTGAGTGGATATAAAACTATAACATAGCCTAGATCTTGTAGATAATGTAGACTATATATTAACAGGTGATAGAGTGGCTATAGAACTATAACATAGTCTAGATCTTATAGATAATGTAGATTATATATTTACAGGTGATAGAGTGGCTATAGAACTATAACATAGCCTAGATCTTGTATATAATGTAGGTTATATATTAACAGGTGATAGAGTGGCTATAGAACTATAATATAGTCTAGATCTTGTAGATAATGTAGACTATATATTAACAGGTGATAGAGTGGCTATAGAACTATAATATAGTCTAGATCTTGTAGATAATGTAGATTATATATTTACTTGTGATTGAGTGGATATAAAACTATAACATAGCCTAGATCTTGTAGATAATGTAGACTATATATTAACAGGTGATAGAGTGGCTATAGAACTATAACATAGCCTAGATCTTGTATATAATGTAGGTTATATATTAACAGGTGATAGAGTGGCTATAGAACTATAATATAGTCTAGATCTTGTAGATAATGTAGACTATATATTAACAGGTGATAGAGTGGCTATAGAACTATAATATAGTCTAGATCTTGTAGATAATGTAGATTATATATTTACAGGTGATAGAGTGGCTATAGAACTATAATATAATCTAGATCTTGTAGATAATGTAAATTAAATATATTTACAGGTAATATAGTGGCTATAGTACTACAATATAATCTAGATCTTGTAGATAATGTAGATAATATATATTAACAGGTGATAGAGTTGCTATAGAACCAGGAGTACCTTGTAGATCTTGTAGATTATGTAAAATTGGTAGATATAACCTATGTCCTGATGTTAAATTCTGTGCCACGCCACCAGTAGACGGAAATATTTGTCAATATTATAAACACCCTGCTGACTTCTGTTTTAAGTAAGTTTCGAATATTCTGTTGACAACCGACCAAATCTATCACTGCAACTAAACACCATACACCATTGTCCCTTCGGATATATTACTTGCCGCTCCAAACAATCATGTCTGTGTTTTAATGTTTATGTCTTTGAAATCGTGGTATGTTTTAGGTTACCAGATCATGTATCATTAGATGAAGGGGCAATGTTAGAACCACTCTCAGTAGCTGTACATAGCTGTAGACGAGCACAGTTACAAACAGGTTCAACTATTTTAATTTGTGGAGCGGGTAAGCTATGACTTCACATACCATGTTCTTGAAGGTTGTGCCTATACAGAATGATTCGATAACTCGCTATACAGAAAGAATCGTGATCACATTGTTCGTATTCAGTCATTCAGTACATACGAGCGTACGGTATCTCCTAATCAAATTGTTTTCCGTTATATTAAATATGTTGACGTAAATGCAATAACGCACATTATAATTTGTGTTATTGATTAGTGCATTATTGATTTTAACTATAAATATTAAGTAAATAATGAATTACAATGTTTTTGTAGGACCTATTGGGTTGATGGTGATGATGGTTGCTAGAAATAGTGGTGCTTCCTCAATAATGATAGCTGGTAAACTAGTTTCTAGTTTCAATTCAATTACATCCTGACAAACCATGCACATTTAGCAAAAGTGTTCAAGAGCAATAGTTATCCGAAAATTGGTCATGCTCTGGTATAATGGTCATTTGAAAAAACATATATATATACTTTCCCAGCTTAATTTTGAACTGCGTTTTTTATTTAACAGATATCGATGATTATAGACTAGATTTCGCAAAGAAAATGGGAGCCGATCATGTGTTTAAAATAACAGATAAAGATACGCAGGTTGTTGCTGATAAGGTCAGAACTGTTTTGGGTGAACCTGATGTCACGTTTGATTGTACTGGGGTCGATTCGACGTTTATTGTTGGTGTCCAGGTACATTATTTTAGAACATTTGCTTGGATTACAAAAGAATTATTCGGAAACAAAAGAATGTGAATATGAATTTAAGACAAATTATAAAATTCTTAACAAGGGGCTTTTTGAAAATAATAATTTTGGTATCATTGATGGTTTTTCTGCTAGATTGCCTTTTTAACATGTCAGATGGAAGTTATTCTAATGAACCAAAGAGACTATTCAATTGATTTTTACTTGACTTCAGGTGACCCGACCCGGAGGTAAAGTGGTTAGAATTGGTGGCACTGATAGTCAAATACAACTTTCTCTGGTTAGAATGAATTGTCATGAAGTTGATTTATTAGGAGTATTTAGATATGCTAATTGGTTAGTACGGCAATACCCTACAAGAAATCTACTTGAATTCTCCTATGATCAATCGTAACGCAGCTGTTCTCTCCTAAAAGATTAAAACCTGTACCCTTTCCATTGCCCATAAGATGGTCATTGTCTATAGGATTCTCCCCTTGATACTTTTGTCAAATATGTATCAAAATTCGATCTCAATTCGATTTGAAATCAAAATATTTGATACATCGTTATGGATTGATGATATGATTATATCAATAGAGTTCTATGCCGGATAATATTATTCAAAACAATTATTATGGATGGATACTTCTATATATATAATAACGTTATTAATCCATCTAAGTTATTTTAGAAATATCTATCCGTGATAATTAATTTATTAGTGATTGACATAGTTATCTATTTCATTAATTGTTCTTTTAATGCTTTTCCAATAATTAGATAAAATGGTCATACTGAATTTAGACTTAATGAGTTTGAAAATTAGGAATTTGCTACAATTGATAATTATGCTGGCTATGGATTCTAATTCGAAATTTCTTTCACGTGACCGTTTAAAGGTTGGTGTTTAAGATATTCTTTTCATTCTTAACAGCCTTTGGTTATTCGTTTGATTTGCCAATGACTCCTTAAAATAGACACGGGATATCTTGTACTTTTGTTTTCTATTTCAGTTACCCGACATCGTTAGATTTAATAGCAACTGGTAAAATAAACGTTAAGCCTCTCATCTCTCATCACTTTCCACTGGAAAACACATTAAAAGCATTTCAAACAGCTAGCTCCAGAGAGACAAGGGCTATTAAAGTTATTATTAATTGTAACTAAAAGAAAACAACTAAAGATTCCCTTACATCACAGAAATCACCAGTTGCGTGTGGTCGCGGAGAATAATAGCGGTCAACAGTTTCGAACGCAACTCTCATGCAAACTTAAATAGTTCGTCAGTTTATTCAATAACAAAGGTACATAGTATATATATATATATATTGGTATAATAATTTAGTTATAATTGCATTAAATTTTATTTCATCCTAGAGGCTTTATGAAAATTTTATTACTTTTGTATCGTTTTCCAGACATTTATAAATCTAATTGATTTTTAGTTTTGTATTTTATATTTTTCAAAATTGATGCATATTTTGTAATTTCATTTAGCATTAATTCAAAGTTAGGTGGGTTTTCAAGACATTTTGCACATTTATAGATGTAATATTTACATATCAAAAGTATCATATTGATAACATTATTATATTTATGATTGATAGTTCCAAAAAATGATATTCACATCATTGAGTTCTATAAATATATCAGTTCGTCTTCAATTTAATGTGATCAATTGATCTTGACCGAAGCATAGAATTTCATTCATGTCAAATTTTTATGAATTATGAATTAAGTTTTCTGACTTAATTTTTAAATAAAAACTAGCTAGCTCTTGGTTAAACAAGCCTTAATTAATTAGTTTCACTTTAATTTTTAAATAAAAACTTCGTGGAAATGACAAAAAACATTAAACTTCGTGGAAAATGAAGAAATCTTTGTCCAAATCACATCCTCAAATAGTGAAAGAATGTTACTCAAAACTATAATCAATTTTGCTTTGCGTAAGGACAGTTTTCTGTGGTCAGAATGGTATATAAGTGCACAGCTGGTGTTTCAAAATAAGCATTAATGCTCAAAAGATTAATGCGGATTACAGTCAGATCTCTGTGGTTCAACTGATTTCTGTAATTTTACACAATTTCGATCGAGTTGTTTATTTGCATGTGAAATGAAACCCTATACTGTTCTTCCGTTCTATTTATTGATTTTTAGGGGGTCATACAATCTATCAAACTATATGTAACCCTCCTTGGCCGATTTATCTAAATTGGTCCGATATGTCGTGCTGACAATAAAGGCGATATTGTTCATTGTACGATTTTACCACTTCCGGTGAAAACCAATATGGCAGCCCCCAGGGCAACAAAAATCTATCAAAGTTTTTTCACGCAATCATGTCTGAAAAAACATTACCCGGTGACATGTTTGGGGAATTTTCCCTTCAAATCCTATTCGTCTGCATCATCTGGCCAGGATCTGGCGAATAAAGAAGGTGAATTATCAAGTTATAGTCACAGAACTCATACTTGTGGTGAACTTGGTGCAAAACATATTGGTCAAGAGGTAACATTATGTGGTTGGCTTCAGTATCAAAGAAACAAAAATTTCTACATATTAAGAGACTGGCATGGCATTACTCAAGCATATGTTGAAAAGAATGACATCATCGATAAGCTGTATTTTGAGAGTGTAATTAAGCTGAAAGGAGAAGTTCGTGTCCGTGTAAGTCCGAATAAAGAAATGAAAACTGGTGAAATTGAAGTTTTGGCTAAGGAGATAGAGATCCTTAATCCAGCTAAACAGTCACTGCCATTTGAAGTCAAAGATAACCAAGAACATAATGAAGTGTTACGGCTCCAACATCGCTACCTTGATATCCGGAAGAATTCAATGCAGAGAAATTTAAGAATGCGCTCCCAAGTGCTTATGAAAATAAGAGAATTTCTTTGCACCAATCATAACTTTGTGGATGTTGAGACTCCAACATTATTCAAAAGAACAAGTGGGGGTGCTCAAGAATTTGTAGTGCCTACTCAAACACCTGGAGCATTTTATTCTCTACCACAAAGTCCACAGCAGTTCAAGCAGCTACTCATGGCAGGAGGCATCGATCGATATTTCCAAATTGCTCGGTGTTATCGAGATGAAAGTTTGGGTCCTGAGCGACAACCTGAGTTTACACAAGTTGATATTGAAATGTCCTTCACAGATCAAGAAAAAGTCCGGAAACTTATTGAAGACATGCTTGTGTATTCATGGCCATTAGAGGAAATTCAAGCTCCATTTCAAAGATTTACCTATGATGAAGCAATGACAATGTATGGAACTGATAAGCCTGATGCAAGATTTGATTTCAAGATTCAAGATGTCACTGATGTACTTCAAGAAAAGGTTGAGCTGTTCAGATTTATTGAAACCACACCTGAAACTGATAAATCAAAACCAAGTGCCAAAAATTCAATTCAAATAATTGTAGTTCCTCAAACTGCTGACCGCTTCACAAATTCTCAAATTCAGAATGTGATAAAATCATCCAAAGATGTAACGTTTAATTTACCAGTTTTATTGGGGAAGTATGATGACATGAAAACTTGGTCTTCCACAATCACAAGACATATAGACCCTGATGCTTTGTCAAGTATATGCAACAAATGTGATGTCAAACCAAATGATATTGTTTTCATATCATCAGGGCAAGAATACCAACCTCATGCAGTCTTGGGAAAGATAAGATTACTGATGGCAGATCTCTTAGAATCCCGAGATGTAGTTGTACGTGATTTAGATGTGTATCAGTTCCTCTGGATTTATGACTTTCCATTGTTTTGCCCTAAGGAAGATGGAAGTGGGTTAGATTCTTCACATCACCCATTCACTGCTCCAGTTGAGAAGGATAAAGAGTTGTTGAAGACTGATCCATTAAAGGCTAAGGGTCAACATTATGATTTGGTTGTGAATGGTGTAGAAATTGGAGGTGGTTCAATGAGAATCCATAATTCTGAATTACAGAAATTTGTTTTGGATGAAATCCTGAAAGAAGATTCAACAGAATTTCAGCATTTATTGGAGGCATTGGCATCTGGTTGTCCACCACATGGTGGTATTGCTCTTGGTTTTGATCGCTTGATGTCCTTAATATGCAAGACAAAAAATATCCGAGATGTAATCGCTTTTCCTAAGTCAAGTGAAGGCAAAGATTTGATGAGTGGAGCACCTTCTCAAATATCAAGAAAAGATTTAGATAATTACCATATCTCTGTCAAGGATTATTGAATGTCCATATCTATTTCATGGCAGGGGTAATATTAAAAGATAAATTTTAGCCGAATTATTTATAACAAGTTATAGAATGTGCTCAAGTATTTTACAACCTCTCCAATTAGTTAAATTTTATATTGATAATGTTATTTGTGCTCATCGTGGTGGGTTCCAAATACAAACACGAGCAAGTGAACCCATTATTTAAATAGATAAATTAAATATTAACAGAAGCTATACAGATTAAAGTTAAATCATGTTTATTATTACTTTAACTACCTAAGCATAAAGAAGAATGGTTGTGTTTATATTTTGGATAGGATCTAGATGTGCAAAAATATCTATATTCAACTTTAGGAATATTAAAACGGAACCTGAAAAATATTAGACTATACATCAGTTCAAAAACAAAATATTTTCACTTGTTAAAATACATGTAGTGCTCAATACATCAATAGTAGAGAAATATAATAATATTAAAACAGAACCTGAAACATATTGTAACAACATTTTCATGTTCTGTTTAAATTTTCTAAACATAAGTTCCTTCTCAAGGTGCATTTATACAGAGCACGAACGTGACCGGCGCGACCGCGAACGCGACTTTCCATCAGTTCAGTCATTCAAATAGAGCGCGAACACGAACGCGGAAAACCGTCGACGGCTTTCAATGCGGATCGCCTCTTTTGTTGTTAAAATTTGGTCATATGGTCATTTTGGAATCATCTCTCCGATTCCCTTCCAAATATCTTTCTTTTTTACTGTCTCTTTGTAAGTTTTTTTCAGCTTTGTCAAACAAAACTGGATTCTTTTCAACTTCTAAAATCAAAACTTCCGTTTTATCCATTGTTTGTACCCTACAAGCAAATTGGAAAAGCCATGTGCACAAGTTTCTATTTTAGGAAATGATGCAAGGGAGGTGGTACAAGCTGATTGGTTGATAGCAAGAAATCCGCCGCGACTTTCTGAAAAATTCGCTCTTGGGGCAATCTCGGCAGTCGACCGCGCGAACAAATATTTGTTCGCGTTCGCATTCTATTTGAACGGTCCCTCTATAAAATGATGAAACCATTCCATGACGAAAAACCGCGTTCGCGTTCACGTTCGCGCTCTGTATAAATGCACCTTAAGGGTTAAAATATAGCCAGACGAGGATGGGCATGCCCATCATCTATGAATGTTTTGAGACATAGGAAGACAATTTTACTTTGTTTCATATAATCAAGCCAAATTGATTTTTTTTTTTTTACTTCAAATGAAGAGTTGCTGGATGTATATGAATATTTTTGTACGACCGTTATACAAGTTATTATTTCAACTGTTTAGAAACATTTCTACAAGTATTAATTTATATGGATTTAAAGTTAAATGGATTGTTGATTCTGTGGTTGTTAAATGCATTCAAATGATGTAGTCACTCAAATATAGAGGAGTTAGATATCTTTTGCATGTTTTTTGATTGAAACTTCCGAATCAGAACATTATATTGCCTATTTGATAATATGTTTAAAAAAGTGTGCTTTTGAATGAATATTATAAAATCCCCAAGTAACCCAACTGTTAAAGCCTAATCAGAACATGACTAATCTAATCTTCACATAAAATGAAATGAGTGGACTTTTGAATAATTTCCATTATTAGTTAATTTAAGAATTTATTACAATTCTCTACTAGCTTTTCCAGCACATTTCATTGCCCTAAGCTTGATACCAGTTTAGTACACTAGGGGTTTTCATACTTGGACAGGGGGTGAGTGCTGATTTAAACTTTTACTTTTTTTGGGAGAAAGGGGTGGGGGTAATGAGACCCTATATAGTCTAGCATAAGGTTCTGTTCTATTTATTGATTTATAGGGGGGTAAAGCAAACTATCAGTGAACTCGAAAATGGAAAAGAAAAGGTTGAAAACCCCTGACTCAAAAAGGGGGACAAGCAATTGACAATGAATATTTAGTTGTGGTCAGTTGAAAACAAATGGTGATATTTGTAAGAGTTATGTCCCGTCAACTATATCCAAATATGGATAACACGTGGTATATTTTTGCAGACGCGCGCAAAACTTACAAGCCTATAATACCATGCGCTGCCTATTGACTAGAGCTCATCTCATGCTGCCGACGAGACTCTTGTTCCGGTGCTCAAAGTAAGTTTACTCGCAGTTGGCCAGTAGCCTACTGAAAGCAGTCCTGTTGTCTACAGTTCGTTCATCCCTGCACTACAAATACAAGCTTGTGTATTATTTTTGGCCACATAGACATGCGGGCGTATATTGCCGTCGCCCCTGTCCGTCGGTCCGTTCACATTTCTTGTAGGCACGATAGAGGCTACAGTTTATAGCCGATCTTGATGAAACTTGGTATGTATGTATATCTCGGTCAGGTACGAAATAGTTAACATTTGGATGAACGGTTTCTGAGTTATTGCCCTTGACTTATTAAAATCACGTCAAATTTTGCTTGTACTTAATGACATTGTGTGTAAGTTGTAAGACCTTGTTCATGATATTTTGGAAAGTTTTCTAGGTTTTGCCTAGACTTACAAATATTTTAAGAATTTCTTCAAAATTCATTATTAAGCCACTTAAGACTTTATCATTTCTGGCAGCTGGTAGTGTATGCGTGGCAAGCTATCTTTTAATATAAGTCCATTACTCACGAAATAGGCCTATATTGGTTTTACAATATCCAGAATTGACTATCATGCTAATTTTTAAGTCTTTAGATAGGCCTAGACATATTTCAAGGTCAAGGGCGGTAGAAAGGCGCTAAAGATCAAAAGTGGGCCATGACAGAGACCAAATTTAGGTTTCCCTTTGAGCTACTTTAGTCCCCCACAATAAAGTCGGTCTGCCAGTCTAGATCTAGAACCCCCAGTCAAGTGAGGCTGGTGTCGCAACTGGGTAGGCTAAACACTTTGTGTTTTTCAGACCTATATAAATGCCATTTATGTTAAATGTGATGAACTATATTAGGTACTTGGCTACCCTGTTAGATTCCGTGCTGTTGATGGATCTTAATGTGCACAGCCTGTAGGGCCTCTATTTTTTGTCCCATTTGAACGACAAGACACTTTCCATGGCAGCCCCTCCGGCCCTCATCAATGACAGTGGGAAACCAAGATATCCTCCACCCTTGCAGATGCTGGGACACTTAAGACCCTGGACCTTCAGGTTAACGAGCAGCTACACTCCATTCACAATGTTAACTTACATAAAATCAATTTATTTGAACATAATGTAAAGTGATTAATATTCATGCAATGAGCTAAGAAAGTTGAGGAAAACAAAAAGAAAATGTCTTAGAAACTGCCATGAAATTAAGATTGTTGATTTGTTTGTCCATCTAGATACTATCTCATACAGCTAAAATAGCTGCTTCACATTAATAAAATATATTTATAATTCTTAACAAAATATATAATTCTCTCTTAACTATTTATTTACTAACATTTTAATATACAAATCTTTATTTTAAACAGATTATTTGGAATTGAATACATATTTTTTCCCCAATGTGTTTGCCTTTATTTCAAATTATTTGAAATTGTCTTGAACAAACAATGTGATTTGTAAGGTATCAGTATCTAAATTAAATTGACAAGCTAAAAACATTTTTGTTACCATGATGTGGACATAAGAAAATAACTGTTAAAATAGAATCTTACATTCCTCAGTAAAAAAAAAGGGTGTAATAGTAGTTGGACAAACTTTCAGGCACTTGTTTGGTTGGAGGGAATTGATTCAAACTGTGCACCATATAATTATGTTATAAAATTGCCTATTCAATTCAGATGGCAAATTTCAAATGAATTATGATTCCATAGAATAAAAAATGAAGCTATATTTCAACATCTCAACAAACCACTTTGTTTTTGAGATCAGAAAAACATTATTCCTAGTTCTAAAAGATACAATTTATTGTCTTTGGCAAAAGCAATGAAAAAAATTTCCATGTGGCATTGTGAAATTTTTAATTGAAGGGATTATAAAGAGGTTTTCTAACAAATTGTATGTGTTTCAGAAACACTGATATTATTGGTTTGCACTATTCTAATTTTTAGTTAAGACGTCTGTGGGTCTTGCAGTTCCACTTAAACCATGCGTTTTATGATGTCACCATTGCAAAGGTCCTTATAATATATCCATATTAACAGCTTTTGCAATAGTGACATTTAGTTAAATGGCAAGTACCAAAAACGTTTGACTGAAAAATGGAATGATGCAAATTGATGATATGAGTGTCATGTATGTAACACAAAAAGTTTTGAATCCTCTTGACAATCACTTTCAGTGTATAACCCTCATTAATGATCTTAAATCAATGCATATGAATTTGGGGTACTATATCTTAAATTTAGGATTGGTAAAGTCCAACTGGCTGACTGATACGTAGGCTCAGTTATTTTCAGTTATTTTCTTCTGGAATAGATTCAAACAGATGCAGATTTTGATGTTTTAAAGAGCAAAATCATCTCCCCTACTTATTACATTTGACAAATTTCGAAGTAAATTTCGAAGTGAATTCCAATACATTTTCTGTAGAAAAAATTTGATAATATATATATTCAGGTTTCTAAAAATGATATATATGTGTGATTTTATTTCTTAATTGATATATTTTGTAAAGAGACTATTATTGAATTAAGATGTCCAGAAAATTTATTAAACTAAATAAAAAGAATAAATTTGAAGCAAAATATACAAAATTCGAATGTATGTATGTACAAATATAATATATGAATATACAATTTTCTATAATTATAACAGATATGAAATAGAGTTATCAAAAAAAAATCTAAAAAATTTTTTTTACAAAATAATGAAATAAAAAAATTTAGAGAAAAAAAGAAATAATTACAGCAATTTTATGCCATAAACTGAAATTATATCAAATTTCTTCAACGGTTATTATCTTAATTTGTTTACCTGGTCTTATCAATTATTTATTAGTAATCAAAAATAAGTGATGAGCAATTGTACATAAATATATATAATTGAGCTATGATCGAATTTGCTGTTGCATTTTATTGAGATTTTAAAGTACAATAATGTAATCTGTTATTTTGATATTTCAAAGGAATAAGTATGCAATGAGTTCTAAATCAAATTATTAATGGCACATAAGTTTGTGTAATTAAGTAACCAAATCCATATAAATGTAGAAAACAAAAATTAATAGTTAGAATAAATAATTTTGTATAACAACTTACTGTTCAGTCATTCCTTGTAGCAAAGATAAACCTGTCTTGCTCTTAAATAATTACTTTAAAAAATTAATAAGTGCAAGGAGCAGATATAAAATATGATATGTGTCAAATAGGACAAAGTGATAAGTGATATGATAGATATACCAGTTTGATATGATAAAGGTTTAATGATATTTATAATAACATATATATATATGTACAACATTTGATATTTGATCATTATGACCTATTTTGACAAAGATGTACCCCAGGTACACCTATATAGCTTCCTTATCAAAAATTATTGTCATTAGACCACAAACAAAATTTTTTTCATAAAATATTTTTCATTAAGTTTAAATATAACTGGTCTCTTGTTGATAGAATGAATTGCCAAATAGTTAATATATTATACATTATTGACAGGCCCAAGAATTTAAAAAATTCCAGATTATTTACAAATATTAATTTGATATTTATTTAATATATTATTTTTTTTAACAAAATTTCAACAAAGTATTAAAAAACACAGTCATATATCTTTATAAAATTGGTTGAAGTCATGTTATTAATGGCTAGATTTAACGTTTCAACGAGCTAATAATAATCTGAAAGAAATGAAGCCTGAATCTCACACAGATCTGTTTTTCAACATTTTATCTGCTGCTGTTAAAATTGGTATTGCTATCTGTCTATTAATCCAAATTTTAATAATCCACATGTAAGATATACAAAATAACACATGAAACACATAAGACAGTCATTCACAATATATCAATACAAAAAACACAGAAACACATATAGTTCATATACACAGCACTATATCGCGTTCCAAACTTCCAAAATTGTTTTCCTGCGTCCTTTCACAATTAAAATGGTGTGTCTTAAACCCAACAGTTTTGTCTCTTTGTGAGCCTTTTTAGCACAGAAATATAAACCAGTATCTTCTTTTTCATACGGACACAAAAACACTCGATAATTGTTTTTCATGTAGTAGAGTGTGTTTGTTTCCAATTAATTATGTTTAAACACAGAGGAATTTAGAGGTCACAAATTTTGTTGTAAAAAAGAACCTCATATTTTTCTATGACTTGATAAAAGTGTCTACCTATGCAAAGAGTTGGTAATAAATGCTTTCCAGGTACTTCCATTTATAAACTTAAACTCGAGGCATAGAAATATCTGCATAATCTGCATCTGACAACGCAACAGGTTTACGACTTCTCGGTCGATCATCAAAATTTATGTCTCCATATGATGAAAAGTCTTCACTTCTTTTATCAAATGACTGAAAAGTAGAAAAAGGTTAACTATAATTGAAATTTACTATTTATACATCAGTAATCAAAGCATAAATCTTTTGATATAATCTAGACACTCAAATCATGGAATACATCCACATGATAGCACTATTGTAAAAAATTACTTGATCCTCACAAGAGATAACTCGTAGCTAGGTAAAAGGCTACAGTCCAAAGAGTCAAAAAACTTGTGTGCTAGATAGGGGGAACACTTAATAGCGAAAAAAGAACAAAAGGGTTAATTTGGTCTTTGTAAGTACAGTGCATCATCATTTCTTATATATGTGTTGCTGTTGAATTTATGCTTAGTAAGTTGATCAACACTTGTATTCAAATATATTCAACCTGGATGAAAACCTTTTGATGAACTTTGCATAAGTATTCTCCTTTGGTTTGAAAAACGAGAATCCACAACAATGGATAAGAGAGCAAGGTATTGAAAAGACAAGTGGTACAATATATATATATTGATGTTCATTAAATATGAGTGAGTTAAAAAGAATAAAAATCAGCTATAACTCACTGTATTGGGATTATAATCATAAGGATTATTGTTATAAGAACTATTTGGATTATTATATGGATGTAATTGTTGATTGGCATATAATTTCTTTTCATCACTGACTAAATCAGGTTGTCTTGAGGCATATCTATTGATAGCTGGATTGTTACTGAAAATACAAAAAAAAATATTTTCATTTCATGTGTAGTCAATTTTCATTCTCCTTTTCAAAAAGAAACAACTCTGTATTATTTTTACAGAGATACTAATCCAACCCTGATATAGGACATAAACTTTTTTTTTTTCTGTTTTTATTACTCAAGTGATGCCAAAACTTGCTCAAATTTTAATCTGAATTAAATCTTTGAATGGCACATTTAATCAAATGATTACTGTTTTAAACACAGAAGATACCCTTACCCAGTACCTGTTTTTGAATATACGCTATTATTAAGACTATCTTTTTCATTACACATATTTATACTTAAAATACTCATAACATTTATATAGTTATTCTTATTTTAACACTAAAGTACCATTCACAGAAAATATAAATATCCAACATATTATCATTTTTAGGCAAAAAATACAAATTATATAGCGTGGGTGACCGCTTGAAACCTTGTATATGCCTATTTGGTCATTTTTGATCTTGTGATCAAATCTTTGTATTCTTAGCTTGATTAAAAATAACTCAAAAAGCGCTAATTAAATAACACATATATATACAGTCAGATTTAAAACCTCGTAAAATATTTTATTATACGAGGTTCAATGTTCCTTTTCTGCAGATGAAAATGAAAAACCTCGTATACTGTATTATTATACGAGTTTTTGGTTCAATAGGCCGGAGATCGCGAATTGTTATACGAAGTTCATATTTTCCAAGAATGAAAACCACGTATAGCGGTAAAAAACATATCAATAAAGATTTTAACAAAATACGTGTACAAATAGTTTTGTGCGTTTTTTCTCAAAAAGTAATTCCGCGTCATACTTTGTTATACGAGGTTGCAAGCGGTCACCCACGATATAATAAAATATACTTACTTGTATGGTTTTTCTGATGGAGCTGAAAAAATAGTAAAAGATAGTTAATTTATGCAGTTTTAGTTTATATCTACATTTTATTTAATTTTATAATTCATTGTAATTTCAGGCACAGGAAATACTACCTTAGCAGAGTGCAAATATAAATAGAAGTAAAAAAAAAGTAAGATTTTTTCTTATATACAAAATACATACTTTCAATTTTCTGAGACTTAATCTTTTCTTGTCTCTTTTTTCTGCAGATAATGAACAGAATAATACCAGCAATTATCAGCAAACCAACCACTACACACACAATTATAATTATCAAAGTTTCATTATCATCTAAAGTGAAAAAACAATAAAAATTATTCAATTTGTAAAAGTGTAGAAAGTAATAAGGATTAATGAACTCAATACTTCAATATTTTTGTTAAATTAAAAAAAAGCTGAACAGAATTATTTTTGCATTTAAAAATCAAACAAATTCACACAAACATTTGGAAAATTTAACTGCTTTTGAACTAAAAATGTTTAAGCAACATGTATTAATGTATAAGTGACACATTTGCTAAGATGAAGCATTCTGTATATTTAACATTATAATTGTGAGTATGCAAATCTAATAAATATATGGCCATGCTAGGGAATGGATAACAATACATCTTGTGCTGGAACCTTGTGGATGAACGTGGCCTTTATTGATAGTGCCTGGTTTGTTCTGAAGTGAGGCAAATTTGATTTGATAATCCTTTGAATATTCACCGCCTCTTCATACAAATTTTTACCATGAAAGTTATTAATGGTTTAGTAAATCCTTACCGTTTCCACCAGTACTTGGCTGTGTGGCACCACCAGGCTTAGAGGAACTAGTACCAGGGGATGAGGTTGGGCTAGGTGTAGTTTGTTTCTCTGAGGGAGGAAAAACATGCAAATTAATAATTAAATAATTGTTGTTAATCATGCTTAGTATATTATTACATATATTAATAATTATACACCGGGTTGAAGTTTTTATTAATAATATTGCCTCTGATACGATCCAATTGTGACCAAAAAAAATTCAGGAAAGGGGCCAAGATTTTTCTTCAATCTGAATAATATGACAGTGTTTAACATACTAATGGCAAGATGCAATATAATTGGAAGTGATAACAATTTGATCCAAAGTAGATCATATGTAATACTTCAAATTAAGTAATCTATCTTCAATTAAAGGGGCAGTATGCAAAATTTTCAATATCAAAATCATCTTAAATTACACCAGAAAATATTTCTATAATATGCTATTTACGTCTCTATGTATATACTTAATAAAATTTTATTTTTTTTTAATGTTTAATTAAAAACAGAGAGTACTAATTGTTAATTAAGCAGTTTGACCTTGTTTTGGTATTCGGCTTTACAATGGCTTGATATTATTAGTTGAAACATTTAGCATACATATGGGGGACATAATTCTCTACAATTAGGCATTTATTTTACATAAATACATACAGTAGTTTTCAATAAGCTTCCAATTAGCATAACAACTTTTATGTAAACTTTTTAAATTGTTTTGGAGTTTAAAAATTAACGGCTGGATTTCTATAGTTAAAACAGATACGATAAGGGACACATTTCTCTAGATTTTGGTGTAATTGTTTTTTGAGCAAAAAACATTTTTGAAAAAAAAGTGGAAAATCAAAATTAATGTCAATAGTAGTACTAAGAAGAGTATAGATATAGTATAGAGCCTGTGGTAACAAATTTAAAAAATTCACTCAACACATAAAACTGAAACCAAGGAGACCAAAAGATTGATAATATGTGAGAGACAGAAGACATAAGTTAGAGACGGAAGACATTAGTTAGTTAATAACATAAAAATATATCAATAAATCACAAAATACAAAACGAATCAAAAGCAATACTATATATTAATTGCAATCAACATAAGTACTGTTTGTTTTTAAGTACCGTTTATTGTACTTCTATCGGTTGTTGTAACAGCATCTAAATAAAAGATGAGGTTAAGAAGGGTTCTATCAGAAAATGCTACATTACACGGAGGTAAAGTGAAATGATGTCCTCTTTTGCAATCAAGAATTTTCATCACAAACCCCCACAGTGCTTTTTCAAAATATTGCTGTTTCTGAGCATTTCTATCAGAGAGTATACTACTTTTTTGAATTGTGTTTACATCATGCTTCTCTGCGATTATCTGGCAAAAACCACATTTTTCACTGACACAATATATAATCATAATGCCTACTGATCATGGCCAAAATCTTGATTATCTTAAGAAACCACATCACAGAGAAACTTACCGACTTGAACTAATACACTTTTACTAGCTGTGAAGGTTTGGTTTTGATAGGTATTCATCGCATCACAACGATACGTTCCAATATCTGACAATTGAATGTTCAAAAAGACCTTTTCACCATTACTATTAGCATCATAAGTAACATTAGATTCTATATGGTGCCATTTGTAAGTTGCTGCTGGAACTGAGTTTGCTGTGCATGTCAACACTACTCTATCTCCTTCAACTTGTGCTGGCTTGTTTGGAGTTTGGTATACATTTGGTTGGTTAACAGGATCTGGAAAATTAGAATTTCATTTAAATAGTTGATAAAAAATAAATAGAATTCATTCAGTGTCAGTCTGCTCAAAATTTCACATTTGATCAAAATAAGCAATGGTATACTAAGTACTTAAAAAAGAATAAAACATTTTTATTTGGTATTGGGCAATGAGTTTAGATAATTGTTTTATTTCTTTTACATTTTTGATGCTTTAGAAGTGACAATGTTTGTAATACTTTCCACACACTTACAATTAACAATTAGGCTGTTGGTAATACGAAAGTGGTTGGGATCCTGGAGATTTTGATGTGTGGTGCTACATTGGATTTTTTTCCCATTATCAGCTTGTGTTACATTCAACACTAATTTTGATGTCATTGTCTTTGTACAGGAATCTTTTGTTTCTGATTCTACGTTGGTCACAGATTCAGAAATAATTTCTTTACTGTTGTCTGCCATGACTTTCTCCCATTTGATAGCTCCTTTTGGAGACTTCCCAATTTCAGCTACACAAGTAAATGTTACTGATTCATATTCAGAAGCTACGTCAGTTGGAGACTGATTCAACTGACTTGGTTTTTGTGGTCCTCCTAAAAGAGTACAGTTAAATCAATTTCACTTCAAATACGCAAAAAAAAAAAAAATAATTCTGCAAAACAAACTGAAAATCACACAGTTCTTATTTTGGATTTTTGTTGGAGGACAGAACTTCAGAATTCTGACTAAAAATACTAAGAATGGATGATAAGTTAAATTTAATTCATTATTGACTTTGTTTACATTTAAAATATTATTTAATTTTGGGTCTCAAAGCTAGTTTTTCTTAATAGACCACATATATTTTTAAATCCAATCATGAACTGATGAAATAAATGTAACAAACTAAATATCCACTCACCTTGGACAGTCAATCCACCTGGCATTATTTTGTCATCCCCTGCAATGAGACTAGTATTTGTGAAGAAACTAAGGACACAACGATATTGTGCTTCATCCACACATTTAACACTAGTTATAGCTAAAGTTGCCACATTATTTTGTAATGACAAAGCACTTCGGTCCCTCAAATCCTCTCCATCTGAATAGTAATTTGTACCAGACGGTGTAAATCTCACTATGTTTTTATAACCACTAACATCACCTGATTTTTGCCGAAAAATAGTCACTGAATCCAATATTTCACCTTGTTTTAAGTTATATGAGCAAGTTATATCTAAAGGACCATTTAATAATCCTTGTTTATTTGGAAAAGTGTTGATTTCTCCACAGTTAACTGACACAATAAGTGCTGAAAAACAAAAATATTTTATATGATCTAAATATAAAGTATTTCAAAAGTACAAATAAGTTGTATAACAAACAAAAATTTGTGCTGCATGCAGAATTTCAAGGGAAATAAAAGTCGTAAGTTAATCTCCTCACTTTCAGTACATTTGTAAGTGCAATATCTAGATCATTCACTAGACTACAAATTTTTATAAAAGGGATCTTGACATATTGATTCAAAGGAAGATAAATCTAATTCAAGAAACCATACTATATATGAAAAACCATTAAAGACAAATTTGACAGTTCTAAATCTTTTAATACATAGTAGATCAATACAACTCCACTAATCTGTAGCACTATTTTTTTTTTTATATGTTCCATCTATTTAAGTGAAACATTTTCAATAATTATTACTCAGCAATTTAAGAAATATGACATTTTTATAAAGAGGGGGGGGGGGGGAATTGAAGGATTATCCATACACTTTTAGATTACTTATCTAGTTTATGTTTATGTAACATGATTAATGAGGTCAATCAAGCCTAATTATCACTGATAACAGTGGGTCAGAAATTCATATGAAATGTGTCATTTCTTACTCACTCATGTGGACTTCATATGACAATTTTTTTTTACACCGTATTGGAAAAAAAATCATTATTGAATGCATATTGCTAAACAAGGGTATTCATCAATTAATAAGTTTGAAGCCCACAAATACAACACTCCAAATATTTCCTACTTTACGAAACTGGACCTCAAGGTAAAATATGTCTATTTCTGATTAAGTGAGTTTCTAATTATGAAAGAATATCTCACTTTATTTTGTTCTTATATTAATTCATGTCAACTATCATTGATGCCTTTTTTAATTTTGACATATTGTTTCAGTCGAATAGGATGCATAATATTTGATAGCCTAGCTGATTATACAGCCTGATCAAAAGACTCATTTAATTCTATAACAAACCACCCCTCAAGCTTAGACATGAGTTTTAAAAAAAATTCACTATCAAAAGATACATTGTTTAAGTTAAGTGCATTAAAATCAATTTCTAAAATGTCAAAACAACTTCAAATGTTGAGTTATTTTGAGTAGTGTTTTGTTAAACTATGCCATAACATCCTATTTGAATCATAGGCCTATACAAAACTCAAACCAATCCCATTTAAATACACACCTAATAAATGAGTTTTCTTGTTTACAATAAATATAAATATATCTGTATTATTAAGACCCTTACAACCTCAAACTATTTAGGAAAGGGCAGTGAAATTCCGATGATCAGAGAACATTCTGTACCAAACAGTAATAATATGAGTGTCTTCCTCTTAGTGTCTTCTACAACGAAGCCATTTGTCCTACTTTGTCACACACACAACAATTCCTTTTATATCTCAATTACCAAAAAGGGATACCAATCAACAATTTATACCATGATCAAGCATGATATATACAAATACCAAAATCCAGGAAAGTTATTAACTTAGAAAAAGACTCGTATAAAATACTTCGCTATTTAGAGACAACTCGCTAGTTATCTAGGCCAAAGTCAAAGCCATTGGAATTCAAATGAGCTCACTGTGCTGTGTCGAAGATGATAAGCCAAAAACTTGTCAACAAAATATTACACTATTCAGATTTATCGAATACATACCCATTAAGCATAAAAATCCAGTCCATGATAATATATTCCGTTCTCCTTGATAATCCATTTTGAATGCACACCTTTAATTAATGTTTCACAATATCCAGGTAGCGTCACAATAATGTCAACTAGCTTGTAGTAATAACGGCCATTTTCCTTGTGTGTGAATCACTCTGCCATATCCCACAATGCACCTGTATATTCTCCACTCAGGTAAACGCAGACGACAACAATGAATATTTATCATCCGATACTATTACTAATCAACAGGTAAAAACTCCCAGTAGAGACACTCCAGCTTGTTATGACACACTGATTTGATAGAGTTCCGTGAAATCGTCTGGAAATGGTTGAGGGTTTCTTGAAATCAATTTCATACACCAGCTAAATCATCGTAAATCAAAGAAATTTATATAACTTTATTGTAAAAGTTGCAAGCTACCACCCAGCGCCAATTTCTGGAAACTAACTTAGCCTGTCTATATCCAAATGAAGATATACAATGGGTTAGCTCTGCACGTTGAATAGATCTTCTTATATTCTGCCTTTCTTTCTGCTAGCGATTGGAGTGGCTGGCTTTCTCGTTGAGTACTTCTGTAGCACTGACTTATAATACGAGATTGGTAAAACATTCAGCAAGAATAACAAAACTTAAAGCCACTCTAGAACTAACGCCGTTTATAATCATCGTTTGAATTCTCTGGCGACTTTCGTGATTGCCAGTATTTATAACATTTCACCATTTAGGCCTAACGGTTTGTTTGCAAAATAGATTATCCTGCACTATTAGTACTGATTAGGACATAATGGAATATTGTTCAGCTCTTCACCAACCGCTTAGAGGATTCAATATTTTATGCTTACAATTTCTCAACCTGTTGCCAACATATTTTGTGATAATTTGAGAGCCAGCATAGCCTGATATCAAAGATTTAAACCAACTTTCTGAAAATGTTGAAGAGATACACAATAGAAGAGAATGCCCACTTGGGTTATGTTCTTGCAAGGTAGACTACAGCGTATATCGGTGGTAATTATTGTACATGGCGCTAACTAGTTTGGTCTGTAGGGGGTAATATCAGGATACATACTCAATTAACATTCTAATTACAGGCATTTAAACTAGAGTGAAGACTGTTAGCATGTTTTCTCACCACTCTATGGGTGGTGGTCGAACCTGTTTTCTTGTGTAGACTACACCGTGACATCAAAATAGCAATTCAGCTTGCTATGCTTTCCTCGACGTAGTTACATTTTAGCTGCCTAAGAAAGTGCAGAGAACAAAGGTAAAAGAAATGAATTAAAATTTAATCGATTTATAAGAGTCTTAGGTATCTGCATATTGTACATGATAAAATTTTGACGTAACCTGTACTGGAATAGAAGGAAGAAAGGCATTGAATATTGGAATGACTGTTGTAAACTGGGGTTAGCTGGGGTTAGCAATAACCGCGTACCTTTAAACATAGCCAGTTAACAAAATGTAGAGACACGAGGAAATGTAATGCAATGATTCAAGCATGTAAGATATTAGATCGGTGTCTAATGTAATTAGTCACCATATAATTAATAGGGGTGATAAAGTATACGTATAACAAGTCTTCTACTCTAAGCGGTAATTGCTAATTTAATACCCATGTTATATGGTCCGTGTAAATGTACATGTTCACCAATTAAACGGGTCAATACACGATGTTTACCCACAGTCTATATTAAATTATATAATATTTAATTCTACAAGTACAACATAAACCTCATAACCAGAGTGTTACTATTATTTTAAAGACCACGTCTAAAGCACATCCGTCTTTCGTTGTCAATCTCTGCCTTTTTAAGATCAAATATTTTTGATAATAAAACCCACCCGATTGGAATAAGCCAGTGTCTGTAGTATCACAGAAACCGTTGTTTTAACCAGCTTACACCCATCCTCAATTTTAACAGGACAATAATTCTATAATACAGATAAGTATAGTATAACGCTCATTTATCATTCGGTTGTCATGGGGAAATTATGTCACTGAAATTAAAGATTGCAATGACATTGATAGAGAGGCTATTTAAGCCCTTACTTACCTGCATTGTAATAAATTTGGTGAACCGCAATCTGTGTAGCCCGAGCTAAATTTATAATATCCCGTCGTGATTATCAAGAAATAAATTGTCTTTTATTTGCTTCTTCCAGAGAATAAGACATCTTATTCTTGTAAGACACAATTTACAACCAGTATGAGCTACAGAATCCCTTAAAACGTCAGGTATGAAATGATCTGATTGTTTTTAACGATTTTTACCTAGTAGTCGCTAGGGAGACCATGCGTACTCCATTACTATCAGGCTCGTAACCAGCCCAATGTGCCACGGGGGCGGCCGCATTTGCATAGGGGGCAAAAGCTGATAGAGACCGATTTCCTGTTGCTCTCGAATTTGTCCTGCTTTGGACAACATTTTTGGTTACTGAAATTGTTTTGCTAATGCTGTTTTTCGCATTGCCTTCTTTAGCGGTTATGAGTTAATCAAGGAAGTTAAATTTATGAAAGCATTTTCTTATTCTTTTACAAGGCAATTTCAATTAATTAATACTTTTTTAAAACATTAACATATTTTATTCATTATAGCGGACACTTCATAAATTAAAAACACCTTCAGGCGCTCTTAATCATCACAACCAATTTGTTAATTAGATCTGCTAATTAATTCATCTAATAATCTTTTCTAATAATATAATATGAATAGGTTCACTTTACGAGGAGACGTCTGAAGTCTAAGAAATCCAGTCTGGACAAAGACGATATCAGTTACATTCTGCTGACAATGATAATATTTGATGTAAACGGTTCTCCATAATGATTCTGCCATTCAAAGAAGAAATTGTATTGTTTATATAGCCACAGCTTAACGTCGTTATAATAATTGATGCTATCGTCGAAATCCTCAGGGAAAATTACTCTTTTATTTGTTTTTTCTTCTTCAGAACACAATATAAATCGAATTAACCTTGTCCCGAGAATTGTTGGTCAGTCGTTTATTTTTGTCCATAAGGTTTTGCTTCTATTAAAGAAAGGGCCCCTCATTGATTCGACTGACACTTGTATGAATGAGTTGTAAATTGGTGTAGTGTGTTTTAACACCATTGTACAGTATTATCTTATTTACATACGAAATTGTTGCTATTGTAATTTCAGCAAAGTAAAGCAAAGCAATTTTGGATTAATATGTAATATAACGTTTACTTGTTTTTCATTGTTTTGAATTCAGCTCTTCTAAACGTTAGGTGTTTTAATGTAGGAAGTGTTGGCTTATATTTTTTTTAACAACTTTTGTTTTCAGAAGGTAGAACTATGATTAGTTATACTGAAATATCTTTCATCAGAGGATTTGATAAATTAGAGTATAGGCTATAGAGTGTAGTTCGTTTTTGGAGCAAGAACCTGCATTAGATGTTATCCGATGTTGCACAGTAATTGCATTCAGTCAAATCACTTTCTTGTAGAACTGAATAATTAATGGGTTAGCAGAAGAGGTAGGATGAACGAACCAGTTTTTAAATAAAACTGATGGTTAATTTACTAACGGACCAGATGTTAAGAAGACTTCCTAATGCTTTCTTGAACTTCTGTTGTAAATACTTCCTTAATGAAACAGACCCACTCACTCTTTTATTGGTAAAACATCCCACCATGTACATTAAATAGATTAAAAAGTTTTAGACAATAAATATGTTTAACAGGTCATTTTTTATTCTCCATGTGAACACAAGTTGAAAGAATATTCCTGAAAATTTCTGAAATAACTTGACATCTTTAAACAAGTGGTTTACATTTAGATTTGGTAGCGTTGCCATAGAAACTGCAATGGTCTCCAGACTCGAATATCGTGTGTCCCATGATTTAGTTCAAACTTAGCCTGCAATTTCCCGCCTTTGTTCAAATCATCGACAGACGACCATATCATTCGGAACACGATTCTTTGATGACAAAACCCGAGTGAAAAAATAAAAGACTTAAACATTTATTATTACTATTAGAAAGAATGCGACAATGTCACGTCTTGAACACATACAGGTCGTTTTGCTTGTCAACCATCGTAGGTTAAAATGAAGTGCAAACCGCAGTTATTTTACTGAATATTAAACAACAATTATTAAATTTTGATTACTCTGTAGGAATTTCATAGAAAAAATTATTAAAGGAAATGGAAATTTATATTTTAGATTTTTACCGACAATGTAGGAAGCAGGGAGCACGACCCATCTAGTAGTCACTGCATTTCATGTGGACGTAAGGCTACATTACATAAGACAATTAAATAGTGAAAGACGAGGGGTCAGGACAATCTCCAAAATAGCCTTGTCTATTGCTACACTCATCTAGCTATTCACGGACCGAGGCCTTTTTCAACAGCATTGGATTACCCATAAATGTTATCTGAAATGGAGCAGAGTCCTCAGCACAGACGAGAGCCGTCAATATATGGCATTATGAGGACAGAGAGCCTGTCTGTTCAGATACTGGGGACGGGACTGCGAGGTGGTCCGAGTATAATGAATCATCGGTCCGGCCCGGCATGGCAGGGGACAATGATGCCATAGCCGCTGGGTAAATAGTCTGGAGGCCATACATTAATATGTGCCACATTTTGCTCTGAAAAGTCGAGTTTAAGACTTAAATTTGGGATCGTGAAAGTAAAATCCTGAATATTTCCTTGTTTAACACGTGTGATGTATGTTTTACACTACTGTGAGATATATTATACCGACTGTGTACAAAAACTACAGAGATTTCAGTAACTTGAGACAAAAGAAACAGATGAAATATTCGAGGATCTTATCGATGTTTAAAGAATAAACTGGTCTCTGCATTAAATACATATCAGGCATAACATAAACTAAAAAATATACCCCAAACCTGTCAACAATGTCTGTAAAATATGGGATTAAGTTCTACGCGTGCCTTTACGTATGTTATTAATATTAACAATTAATATGCATATTTTATTTCATATACAATCTATATTTTGAACATTGTGTATTCATATAATGCACAATTTATTTGTCTTTTCAATATTTCATAATGCACAAGCTGTTTCTTGATATTGTTTGAATGTGTTTATACTTTCAGTCGATTTAATAATTGTCATAATATATCAA